ATGGAATCTCGTACGGGGAGAAATAACCAACGTACGTTTTGCAATTCCTCTATGCCATTTGGCGCATTCGTACCTTTTACCTCTTACCTTTGACATTCTCCCACTTCCAAATCCGGAATGTTCATAGGCTTACATCCTCCTTTTGGAATACAGGTTATGGCCCAGAAGGAGAAAGACTCGTTGCGGGAGTGGTCCCTTTGAACGAAGCAAAAACTCACGTCCTCCTTATACAATCTACACGTCGGAACGCATGGGTTTTACCTAAAGGTGGATGGGAGACTGATGAAGAATGCATTCAAGCAGCACAACGTGAAGCATGGGAGGAGGCAGGAATAGTTTGTACCGTCGATTATGATTTGGGTCAAATCACCGAAACCAGAACTGCCAAACAAATCTCAAAGAATGCACCCAAAGCACTTTACCAATTCTTCCAAGTCACCGTTACAAGCGAAGAGACAGAATGGCCAGAGAGGCACAAGAGGAATCGAAAGTGGGCGACATACTCAGAGGCAAAACAGGATCTTCAAGAGCGTCCAGAATTATTACAGGCTCTTGAACGTTGTACCATTCAACGGTAGCCTTGGGGGCCCGGTGTTTACTCTCCAACGATTCGCTGTAGTAGGACGGTCGAAGAGACAACGATACACAGTACACAGTACACGACGATACACGACGATATTCCTTTCCATCCGATCGAGTCGGGATTGAGCAATAATAAGTTTTTGAGATCGGTCGTACTGTATACACACCAGTTGCAGTGTTAATTCAACGAGTTATGGATACCGGGTTCCATTGAAAAAATAAGTAAAAAAAGATATTTTGAGGATTTTATTTTTGGGTTGGTTGGTTGGTTTTCTTCAAGAAAATTGCTGCTTTACTCTTCTTTTTTTTCGTCTGCACTAGATGGCAAAATAAAGTCGGATCTAATGCAGTGTGTTCCTCATCACTCACATGTTGTTCTATGGTCTTTTTCTTTTTCTATTGAACATCATATATTTACCTACTTTGAGGTTTTTCGACACCTTCGTTGTTACATATCTCCCAAAAAGCGCCATGACATGTCACATTTTGAGATCTTCGTTGAAGTACTTGAGTACTATAACTTGTACTGTTCTTGCTATATCTAATGGAGTGGACAGACAGTGTTTATACTAACAGTCCATGGAAATTTCTATTGACATTGGGGGGAAAAACAAAGGGAAAGGAGGAAGGATTGATTCGACATCGAATAATATATATAGAGAAATAAAGAGCAATATCATTACCAACCTTGACTTAACACTTGAGGAGTAATAGCATCTTGAATACGGAATCTCAAGGAACAGGTACTTACTTCATTGTCATCAAAAATTAGGGAGAGATGATCAGGATAAAGATCCAAGGCGGAATACAGAGATACACGATGGTCAGGATTGTCCGGCATCTTCAAGAGCAATGAATGTCTTTCATAGCATTTCTTCTTTGCCCTCTCCAAAATAACTTTGATAGGGAAAGAGCATACACAGGTAGGTACCATATTTCATTCGAATAGGTTCGGGGGTTTTCACTTTGCAAATTCAGATAGGAATAATAAATAGACACCCCAACATTCCAAACAAGGCCATCATTCAATTCATCCTGATATCAAAATATAAAAACCAAATCCATTTTCCCAAGACGTCTTTTCTTCACCCCGAGACCCCAACTTTAACAGTGCGCGTCTATCAACCGATTGGTCACTCTCTATCACCACAACCATTGAATCTTCTACTTCCACTTCATCCAACCAAACTATTCATCTCGTCCACGAACCTCAACTTTTGGAGATTTTTATCGTCAACTCGCGGAATGGATTGGTTGAAACTCTCACTATTACGATAATCGATTTTTACCTTGAAGATACCGACTAGATGGATCAACAACCGACATATCAAGGCCCAGAAGGAGGGGCTGAGATGCCAGCTCTAGGAGCTGGTATAATACCTCCTCCGCCGAATCAGCAACTCCCAGCGCAAATGTTTACGACTGCTGCGCAATTGCTTGACTTGACTGATAGTAAGATTCCCCGATCTGCGAAGCTATGTTGGAAATACTGGTTGTGTTACGGCTACTTGCATAGAGTCTACTAGTGGTAGATCTATGGCTTGAGAATATGCACACACACAGCTCTTTGATGATGAATACATACATATACTAATCGAAATATTTTTACTCTACAGAAAAGCTTATGATCTCCCTCCGCGATGGCAGAAAACTTATTGGAATACTCCGAAGTTGGGACCAGTTCGGTATACAATCATTTCCCATTCTCCAGCCCCATCACATCACATCACATCACATCACTCACTAAACATTCCACTACAGCAAACATCGTCCTTCAATCTACCGTCGAACGGATATTCATTGCGCCTCCCCCTCCCTCCTCACCTCAAGGTGCAACGCAGCCTGGACTCTACGCCGATATACCCCGCGGACTGTTTCTCGTGCGTGGCGAGAATGTATTGTTGCTCGGCGAAATAGATCTGGATAAAGATGATGAGGCGCCGCCAGGATATGAGAAAGCCGATGCGGAGGTGGTGCATAAGTTGGATAAGGAGAGGAGGGCGATGGAGGCGAAGAGGGATAAGAATCGTTTGAGGAAGTTGGCAGAGTTGGGATTTGAGGGGGAGAATTCGGGAGAGGCTATATTTGGATGATGTGGGTGAGGAGAGAGGGGGGAAATGGGTGGATTAGGGAGAATTGGGGTAAGGAATGGAGGGTATGAGGGAGGGGATGGGGAATGAGTTCGAGATGGAATGGGACAGTAGATCAGAGATGTGGTTACAAAAAACTCAAGGCCGAATATTGTGAAAGGCTAGCTGGCGATTTCTATCAGTCAGTTGTGGTAGATCTATGACAGATTCAACCACAGGAAACATAATTTTTCCTTCTTCTCTCCTAACTGTTTGGACCCTTTTCACGATTTACTTGTGTGAGTATAGCGTTTTTAGGGAAACTAATGAAAGACCTTGCACATGAATCACGACGCGTTAGAGAGCAAGGATGTCTTCATCCTAAAAAATGAACTTTAAACTTTGGGCTTTGGACTTTTGGGAGATCTTAAATGCAAATGTTGAATGGAGGATGGGGAGAAGAAGAGTGGAGGATCGAGGATAGAGAATATGACTAACTCGAAGTCGAAATTGAAATAGGAATAGGTGTATCGGGTGATGTCTTCCGTTTAATGCATAGAGAGTACAAGAAACTCAATATCCGAAATCGAAGGAAATGGTTAAAGGATGGATAGATAGGTAGATTGGCAGGTAGGTGTGAATGAATGGGCGGATGAAAGTGTGGGTGGATTCATGGATATCCGAAATTCATGATTATGCTCATTCTCTACTTTCAAGATTGAATTTGTGTAATTAAAATCATGGTGTATTATGTATTAAAGAGTACGAGTAGAGAATCTAGATTGATTGGTGATTAGTAGGTATGCGGTGGTATGCGGTGGTATACTTGAGGATACCAGAATTAGCTAGCTAGTCTTTCTTGCATATAGTAATTCTTATTGAGAAATTAACCAAGTATCTGTACGATAGATCGACCAATGTCTTTGTTGAAATGTGAAAAAGTGTTAGTTCGGACAATCCAGTGGATGAAGAAATTCTACGATAAATTCTCCGTCCCCATAAGGCGTATCGTAAGGCGTGGGGGACAAGGAAGAATATCGGTACCACTAGAAGATTTACTAGAAGATTTCAAATGCTTCTCTTTGAAATAACGGTGGTTTACGATGGAGCATGCATCCATTGCATTCGCCAATCTTGGACTGGAGTTCGGACTGTCCGGTGCGAATGTTTGTGGTATATGCTGGACTTGACACAAGACTATCGAGATCGGATCGAATTGGAAACACGTGCTAGTTGGCCATTATGTATTCAGGAGAAATGTTTCGCGAACGCGTCATGTATTCGCGCGGGGTGCTTGGGATTCTCCTATTTTTTGGAATCGCTTAGGTTACGGATGGGTCGTCACGAGATGGAATGGAGTGGGAGGTCGGGTTTATCTAGGTACTCGTAGGTATCTATCAAGTGACTTTCTTCCTTTCACACGCTTATGATATGATAATGAATTAGACAATAATTGGAATTTGGAAAACTCTCAACGTGTTTTTTTTTTTTTGCTTCCTTCTTTGCTTTTCTAGATTCCTTCTAGACTGTTTTACCATATCCACCGAGCGCAAATCTTGAGATGAAATTTGGAAATCATGCGCGGGCAGCGCGGGGACAGGGATCCACACGCTTGGGAATTCATGCACAATAACCATTTGAGTAATGAATTGGGGGAGAAGCAGGATTGGCATGATGGATGAGAGGGGGGGAGCGAGCAAGTTCCTAGTTGGGGGCGTGTCACTTGGGACGGTTTGGGAAGGAGGATGGATACTCGAGGGAAGTTTGTGGGTGGAGAGTTTGGGTGGTGAGAAAGAGCATGAGGAGGCAATTTCAAAGGGATATGAAGTACTATTGATTTTTGAGGAAAGTTTTTGACGTTTGACGCGCTTGGTTTGGAGATGAAATGAGGGATGTTGGGATGGGAGGGGTGGATGCGATGGAGAGGGGTGGATGGTGCGATGACGAAATTGGCTCTTGGGAGTTCTTATGAAGGGAGATGTTCGCACCTTTTTTTTCCCTCTTTCTTTTTCTTCGAAGAGTTGTCTTTAGTAGCTGTCATTAGGAAGATTGTCTTTTCGATACCCAGATACCCAGATACCCAGATTCTATTCACTTCTTCGGACTACGACATCATCTCGAGTCTTTATTACTTTTTTCCCATCTTCGACAAGACAACAGACACGCACGCACACTTCATCTGCATCCTCATAATCACATAATCCCACACACTACACCCGCAGCATTTACGCTCCGGGCCCTCGGAAATCTTTCAAAATCTTTCACTCACACCCCCGTCAGAGACCGCACATCACCTGTCGTCTCCTCTCCATTCGTCCCCGCAGTTCTCGCTCTCGAACAAACTCAAACATGTCTTCTACGCCTACCACCACTGGACCGATCCCGGCTCCCACAAATACGGTGAATCCTCTCCCCGCGACACCTGCTGAGGCTGCCGCAGGAGTCGGCCCCGCCGCTTCGGGAACCGCATTGGATTTGCACACGCAGACTGAAGATGCGGCAAAGGAATACAAGAATGCACAGAAGGCTGAGAAGGCTTACGCGCAGAAGAAGAAGTGCATGACGGCGAGAAAGGAGTGGTATGATTGTAAAGTACACTTTGCAGCTGGAGTGCAGGGCTTCAGAGAGGGAGGCAAATGTGTTGGACGGGTTGTCAAGGCCGGACCGGCTTTGGCGATGGAGAAGGTTAAGGGGGGAAAGGGTCAGGGCGTCAAGACTGTGGATAGTGGTGCTTCCGGAGAGAGTATCATGGTGGAGAAGGAGAATGCTAATAAGAAGAGTGGTAATGGTGGTGTGAAAGCAAAGGTGATGGGGTTGAAAGAGAAACTTTTGGCAATGAAGGAGAAGAGGGCGATGGAGAAACAGGCAAAAACTGATGAGAAAACTGCCATCGCCACTCCCACTGCAAGCGGAGCTGTAGGAGCAACACCAGCAGCAGAAGCTACGCCTGTTGTTCCTGTTCCTGTTGCTCCCGTCGCAGCTACCCCAGTCCCAAGTCCTACACAGACCAAACAGGAAAAAAAGAGAATGACTCTGGATCAGGTGAGACATCGAATTCTTTCCTATCGTCACTCGCGTTTTTGTTCCACGTCATCGGAAGATGATGACGAAGAGGTGAACGTCGCGCCTCGAATTGCAGGTTGGATGACCTATTTTCTACCCTTTCACTTACTCCTCTTCTCCTTATCTTTACCCTCTCACACATTCGAGTTTGCTTTGAGGGTCTTGGATTCCGAGATGGATGGATAGACATTCTGTACGATTTCTAGACAAAGAAGAATAGCATGCTGATTGAAGACAATAGAGAATCCAACAAGAAGAAGCCAAAGCGCTCGCGCGTCAGGAAGCGGAAGCCTCCGCGGCACACGCTACAGCTGCGACCGGCGAAACCCCAGTCGTGGCTCCCATCCCAGCTCCGGCGCCCCCTCAAGGGCTAACTCCCATCCAAACCACGCACACATCAGCATCGTTGGCGAACCCCCCGCAATTACCTCCCAAGACACAGTTGAGCCCCCCCGGATCCCCAACGAAGGGGACCATGGAGCCGATTCACGAGGACGGAGAGACGGGGGCCCTCCCATTGGCGAGCGGGATGCAGGGGCCGGTGGAAACGCAGAATCCTGGGGTAGTTGGGGGAGGAGCACCGGCCGGACAGTAAGCGAAGGGGGAGATGGGGGCGGCGAGGGCTTGAAAGCCAGAGTGGCGGTTATGGTGCGAGGGAGATTGCGAGGGGGTGATGCGCGCGCGCCTGCTTTTCCATGGTTTGCGGCGCACTATGCAGATGAGAGTGAGGATTCGAGCGAGGAGGAGAAGAAAAGGGAGAAGAAAATGCATGCGAGAATGGGAATGGGAATGGGAATGGGAATGGGAATGAAAATGAAAACGAAAACAGCAACAGCAACAGGAGCTAAAGAATCAACGCGAGCACGAATGATGGGACATTTTTCCAGGACGAACAAGACTGATGCAGGAATGAATTATAACGAGAAGAGATTTCGCCGCCCGGGGAAGTTGGCGACGTTGCGCTTGAGATGGAGTTTGTTTGTGTCGAAAGTGAGGGATTGGGCGAGCGATGCGATGGGATGGGTTGGGGTGTTGATTATGGATTTTTTGGGGAGGGTGAGTGTGATGGGAGAGGAAATCAGCAAAAAGATTGGTGGAAAGAAGGGGAAAAAGGAGAAGAAGGTTAGGTTTTCCAGGAGAGCGCTTTTCTAGGGGGGGTGATGGGTGGGGTGGAGATTATGTGTTATGGGCTTTTATGAGTTTTTTGATGTTTTCATGATTTTCATGTTTATGTTTATGTTTACGTTTACGAGTTTTTATTGTTTTACTTTTCTTTTCTTTTTGGATTTTCCACGAGTTCTCTTCTTCATCATTCATGTTAATGTCTCATGATTACGAGTACGAGTACGAGTATGATATTTTGTTTGGTTTTTAGTTTTGGTTTTTAGTTTTGGTTTTTGGTTTTGGTTTTGGTTGTGATTATTTATCCTTCTTTCTTTTTGATATCCATTATTTTGCACATAAGTCGTACTTTTCAATCTTCTTATTTTGGCTTTTTCGAAAGGGTAATTTGGGTAACTTGAATCAATATAGATAGAATTACAGTATAGTTTGTATGTTGATACTACTGCTTTTCCTCTTGCTTGTGATTGTGATGGTGATGGACGGATAGATTCCTTCCCAATGGGTGCGCAATATATTCATGTAGGAAGTTTGTATGAGTATTGGAATTTATTTCGCCATGAGAATAGAATATGACATTTTATTTGATGAACTTCCTTTAATCTAGTGAACCCCTCCCCCATACACCATAACACAATTCTCATTCATCCCTTCTACAGCAACATCTAACTAATGCCGAAGTCTCCCCCCCTACGTTTCCAGCAAATCTTCTTGTAAAGCTAAGCCGTGTAACAAAATCCAACAAAGCCCGGAATTTATGCAAGAATCCAACAGCAACATTAATCATATCAATATCCCAGATACTTCGATTCATCTCTCCCTCTCTTTCTCAACAGAAATATAGATAATACCCACCTTCAACAGTACAGATTCCGATCAATATCGAATTACTTGATACACATATCACATATTGTGCCACATGGAATTTCCCGACTGTATTCACAGTCTCTAGTAAATTTTATTGCACCTCACTCTTCCTTTCATAACGAAAATCGTTGAGTGAAATTGTGAAATTGTGAAATGATGGATCAAAACCATTCACATCCGTCCAAGATTCTGCACACATCTGCATATCCAACTATGGTATTTCATCCCAAGACATGCTGAATGAAAATTGCAATTCAACACAGTAGAACAGCACAGTACAGCACAGCACAGCAAGTGTCATGACATCCATCCAAATCACCAGCACAGCACAGCAAAACAACAAGAACCAAGAAACTCAAGACCACAGATCCATTTCCCCACTTCCCTCCTCCAACCTTCGCCTCAAAGATCGATCTCTCCCGCCGGCCTCGCAATATTTGCTCGCCAGTGATGAACATTGACCGGATCCTTCTGATACAAATTCACCTCGAAGAATTTATTATGAGAGCTACATTTGAAGTTCTTATATCTATTTACCACTCATCAGTTTGCAACTCATCATTTCGCATATCATATCATGCATGTCCATTATCATAAACATTGAAATTGAAAACAATAAAAAGCGCAGTACTTACGAATTCAACTTCTGATAATTGGCTTGGATCAGATGCTGTTCGGTGATCTCGATAAAATCTCCCGGGGAGCTGTCATCGGGGATGAAGTAGCGTTTAGATTCAAGAGGACCGTAGTTGACTTGTCGGACAAATTGGATGGCGTACGGGGTGGTAGGAGTGATGGGGTTGGAGTCAGCTCCTGAGTCCTTGGGAGGTGTGACGGAGGAGGAGCGAGGGTAGTCGGCCCAGGCTTTGAAGCTGGTGAATTTCTGTTGGTGGGTGAGTTGTTGAGGACGAAAGGACTCGGGGGAATCACAGCAGAAGAGAGTGGTCATGATGTAGGTTAGATGGTGTAAGAGAGAAGAATATTTTGATTTGAAGTGGAGGATAGATGCTTTGGTTTGTAGTTCATTGAAAGTCCAACGAAGTATTGTGAGACGATTGCAGAGCAACTGAAAAGAAAATCGAGGATCTGGATGGGTATATTTATGCAATGAGGACTTTTGCGTTTCACGGGACTCCAAGACACAAAATCAAGAAAGATGCAAATGATTCCCCAGACGATGGAAGCATCAAATGTCCAATAACCCGAACATGTTGGGACTTGAACATACCAAAGCTTGAAAATCTGAGCCCGATTTACACAAATGGGAAAGCCATTTCCTTCCTTGCCAGCAACTTTCTCAAGACCCCGCCTTCATGGCATGCAACATCGTCAAGAAATCAAGTGTTGGGATTTTACTGCAGATTTTCATGATAGACTGTGAGCTTTTTTGCACCTCAGACCCTCTGTCATCCTCAGTAAGAAGATGATTCATTGGTAGACACTTGAAAATGAGGCCTACAACTAAGGCAACTTGCGTCTGGACTAAGCACTTCGCATTAAAAATATATGCAGCTTCCATAGCACTATTTCCACGGCTTCATGATAGCAAATACGATTGGCAGTGCTCATTTGAGGCCACCTATCAGATTCCTCAAGAGCTGTTCTCATCGCCGATAGTATGCAGAATGATGTTCAAATTCGTGTTCTTAATATCGGAGATTCGATATTTTTTGAATTCTCGCTGCTGATTGGAGCATTACAATTTTGAGGCCTACAACCAGGGTGGTATAAATACTGAATGGATATTGGTTGAGCGATCTCGCTTCCAACACGTGCAGACATTCAATGATGATGACTGATTGGCTGTAGCGACATCTCGACCATCATAAGAACCCTCGAATTTTCCACCTTCTTTCCTTTTTTTCTTCTTTTCTCTTCACGGCGCGAGAGGCGGCGCTGTCATTCCTCACTCTTTTTCTCCTACACAGTCACTCCTTAGGGGTCTTTTTTTCATTCATCTTCAGCATCTTCCTACTCTTTGCAATACCTTAACCCTAATTCAGGGGCCTCCGCTACGATCAAGGAGGCCCAAAGCGAATAGAACCTATCTTCTCGGAATACACCGCTGGGAACGAAAACGAACATAATCATCTACTTTGTGAATTTATCAATCCCAGCCTTTTAGACCTCAGGATACATCCTGTTCCTTCTTCATTCGAATCAAGGGTTACTGTTGATGCTCGGGAAGCAAACAGACAAGTTGATGAGAATAAATGCCCTTCCGCTGAAGATGACAACCATGGAAATTTCGATCCTCCGCCTTACAATCCTTACAACACTTTGTTAGATCTGCCTGCGCTAGACGCAGAGTCTCCGCAAGCTCTCCAATATGTCGAAGAACCAGGCGAAGGCCGGGTTCAGTACGGTCTTTACCAAGCCCAATCAGTCTCCAATCCTCACGTGGAGCAATTCCAACATCATCATCATCATCCTACTGGTCAGATTTTACCTGAGCAGCCAGAACCGCAACCAGTTGCTCAACACTACACTTGCCCGGAATGTCAAAAACAGTTCAAACTACCATGTGAGCTAAAGTAAGTGCTAATTCTTTTAAAAATCCATATTGCATGACTTGTTGATGTTGACATTCAACCTCAGTGTTCATATAAAATCACATACTCTCCCTTTCAAGTGTCGCATATGCTCATGTAAATCACTCGGATTCCGGTACCACAAAGATCTGAAACGCCACATTGCAAGTATACATCCCAAGCTCAACCCAAATGGGGAAAGATATTTTTGTGATGCGGAAAGCTGCAAACACTCAAGAGCCGAAGGAAAGGGATTCACGAGGAAGGATAATTTTAAAAGGCACAAGAAGAATTGTAAACATCGGATCCAACAGATATGACAAGAAAGTTTGCTGTGTAATTAGTCAATGGGAGCACTTGAGGTTGTGGGAGAAACAGAAATATGATTTGTTGATGACAATCGCCAGTACATTGCCGCTTAATCATTGCGACTGTAGAATCATGACGGAATTCCTAGAACCCCCAAACTGCATTTCTCCAAGCCGCTCAAACAAAATCACCGGGCCTTGTTGTCTTAACATCAGCCAAAACGCCGAAGTCCAAATGATCAGCTCTTTTTCCTCTGCTTTTGCTACTAAGCTCATCATCTTGTTTCCTTTTTCTTCTTACCACCAAATTTCAACCCTTTTGCATTTCGCCTTATCCAATTGTGAGCTGTGAATTCATTTTGCCTATACGCTGAAAGCAAATATACCCCTTCAATAATCGAAGATTTCATGTAGGAAGACACACCCAAACCATTGCCGCCTCAACTTTGTAATCAAACCACAAGCCAGCATGCAATATTTCCAGTGAATATTTATTGACAGCACTAGCCATTTGTGTGATGTCAAGAACGTCATGAATCATATCCCATAAACGCTTGAGGCTCATACAACGGGAACGCAACACAAAGCTGATTTTAAAAGAATGCCTTTGTCTTTCCTATACCGTGCCCTTCAGCCATCACTCAACGACATAATTTTACCGACAATACCAACTCCTTCAAGGAGTTTTCTTCTCTCAAGTCCATGAATAGACTCTCTTAGAAAGCTGTCACTTGCACTTGCAGAAGCAAAAGGTGTAAAACTGTCACAACATTGAGGGCTGAGTTCAATTTCAGACTCTTATGATGTTAAAAGAAAAATCTTGGTCAAAATGTCACCCAGCAAATGGCTAGAAAAGGAGATATGTAGTTCCTCAATTCGTCGTGATCGTTCCAGTCGGATGGATCATATTTTGCAGATTGTGTCAAACTGTAAGCCAATGTGAGAACCGGGAAACCTTTGATACATAATATCCAGACTTCATATAGATAGGGAATCATCATCATCATCATTAGCAATCTTCAGTACTTATGCCCGGCCCTTTAATTACCGCCCCTCAACCAAGCACAAACTCCCAACACGAAAACACAAACCATGGCATCTCCACTGACTGTTCCCCAAATACGTCCATATCTTAAGACCGTGCCTACATAACTCTTCCAAGGCTCTGGCAAGAAACCCATCACTGTCCCCATCATACCAGCTGGCATAGAGTTTCCCTTCTCCAAATAAAATCTGCTGGTCAACAAGACCACTTCTGACGTCGCAAAGATCCAAAAGAAATGCACACTATCCGCGCTCAATCCATCATTCGCCAAACCCGACGCCTCGCGTGCATATTTAGTGCCTGTAAATGACGTCGTAAGTGCTATATACAAGCCGAGGGATAATGCGAAAACGGCATGCACTATGCGCCAAATGTATGCATAAGGATCAATAGCAGCGGCTTGAGCTTGCCCTTCCATCCCCATACCGGGCATACCAGGCATACCGGGAAAGGAAGGCATTCCAGCTTGTCCTTCGCCCGGTGGTCCGCCCATTCCTCCCATCATCTGTTGTAACATTTGCATTATGGGATCGTTTGCGCCGTCTTCACCGGGTGCACCTCCCATACCTGGGAAACCTGCGAAAGGATTTTGGCCAGGAGCACCACCCAAAGAGCCTGGATCCATACCCAGCATCATTTGCCTTAATTGATCATCATTTAGTTGCTGTTGCTGCTGGCCACTCTGAGACCTCTGGATCGGCGTGCGAGTCTGCGGCTCATAATAATGATTCGAAATATCTACTTCATCTGGATCCGCATGGTTTGTAGCCTTGGGAGCTGTTTGCGCTGGCGCTGGCGCTGGCGATGGAACCTCCTCTATACCCACCATTAGCTTTATTCAACATATAATTCAAAGAGCCATCCAAAATAGCCTCAAACAGGACAAGTACAAACCTCTAGGTAAACCACCACCTAACCCAATGATCTTATTCAACCTTGCATTTCCCCCATCTCTAATCTTTGCTTCTCTCTTTTCCTTCCTAATGCGTGCCTGTCTCTGAGATGGCGTTTCTGTTGCTGGCTCAGAAGTATCGGCCATTTTTTTTATAAAAAAAATTGTTGTTAAGAAAATGGAAAGATGATGACTTGGACAGATTTGATGATGTCGTTTATTATTTACGTGGTTGGAAGCTTCCGGAGCTGGGATTTTTTTTGGTGGGGGAAAGCTAGAAGGGGTCACCATACATTTATTTACATGTATCCAGATAGACACTTATTGCACTAGCTTTAACAATGATTTGATCTGTAGTTAAATAGAACTAACGAAATCAATAATGGTGCATCATTGGTATAATATCAACCAAACTGTACAATATTTCACAATTTATTATAAAGAGAATCGTTGATTCATTCGTAATCCATAAGAGAAGTTGATTGGTATCATGTACACCACTTCTAGAACAAGACATACATCATTTTTAGGGTATTCCTTGCAAACTTACATCAATACGCAATTGCAATCATAGGTATTGCTCTTAATTCAAAGATAAAAAAGCAGTATTATAAAGAATAAGTTCTTACTCTAGCAATATTTCTTTACTATACACACATGCTTCGCTCTCATCTTAATCCTCATTCCTTCGTTCCGGTTTTTAGTTCTCAAATTAAAATAAAGTATTCGCTTCAACTCTAAGGAGTGACTTTGCTCATGCTAACTAATCGTTTGACACCGACCTGTATTGATCATTAGTATATGTTACATTCAAACCCCAAAAAGACAACTATAAAACTTACCATCCAATTGCCACACTCATCAGGCTTTTCACGATGAATGTCGACTTGCATCCTGCTTGCTGTTTCGTAGTCACCAGATTGAAGTGCCTCCGCCAACTGGGTCAATTTCTCGATAGTATCAGGTTTTACAAGTTCCTCATTATTCAGATGATCAAACAAAATGTTGAGGCGCTTCTGAGTGTCTTTCACTTGAGGAGCAAAATTTGCTGGAGCTTTCGAGGCTACTCTTTGCATGTCACTGGTGAAGATTTCGACCATTCTCTGAGCAGATTCGGGAATATGTGATCTATCACCAGCAGGGTGCTTAGGTTTTGCTGGAGCAGCTGCAACGGCAGAAGCTCTAGGAGGCCCAGTTGGTGGTCGAGAACCGCCCATTGGAGGACCTTGAGGAGGACCTTGCGGTGGCCCTTGTTGAGTCTGAGGAGGACCTTGGGGAGGACCTTGGTTTTGAAACTGTGCAGGTGGAGGCTGGCTTTCATATGGCGATTGAGATGGCGCGTACTGGCTAGGTGGTGCAGCTGACGGTGGTGCATATGGATTAGATGGAGGTGGTCTCATACCTCCCTGAGGAGGTGGAGCGATATTTGATGGAGGTGGTTGGGAGTATTGCTGTGTTGCTGGAGATGGAGCGTATCTGCTTGTAGGTGCAGCCCCGGTAGGTGGGGGATTATATGGAGAAGCTCCACGAGGAATTGTAGGTGGTGGTATTGATGCATATGGTGATTGAGCAGGGGGTGCTTGAGGAGTATATGCATTGGCCGTGGATGATGGTCTGGGAGGTGGTGCAGTCGTCAATGGTGAGCTAATACGGGGTGGGGCTGATCCCTTAGGTGGAGGAGGTGGGGGGGTTGCCCTGGAAGCACCGTATGGGTTTGCTGGAGGTGGCATTGAAGCACCTTGCTGATTTGGGAATGGATTTGCAACAGGGGTACTTCTTCTAGCAGTAGGAACCTTTGTTACGAAAGGTGTGTCATTCCAGTTTGTCATGTCTTTAGCTTTAGATGCAGGTGGAGCTGATGGAGTTGTGTTTCTCGGAGGAGGGGCTCCAAATGATTGTTGAGGTGCTCCATAGCCCGATGGAGCTGCTCCATATGCTCCGTACGAAGGTGCATAAGCAGGTTGAGATGGTTGTGGTGGCTGGTAACCTTGTGGCGCGTAAGCGCTTGCTGCAGGTGCATATGGATTAGAGGCACCTGAAGTGGGTGGCGCATAAGGATTAGAAGCTGGAGCAGTAGCGGCAGGTGGAGCGTATGGATTTGGAGCAGATTGAACTGGGGGTGCCACAGCAGCAGGAATTGGCTGTTGATATGCGGCTGGCTGAGCACGTGCTGGGACTCTCGAAGAGACTGCTGGCTGTCTTGCGGTAGTGGTAGGGGCAACCTTTCTTGATGCACGCTTGACTCGGTCTCGTGCAACTTCTGCAGCAGGGTACTGAGCTGGAAGAAGATCAAGGTATCTTTCGGCAATTGAGAGATGTCCGTGAGCAGCAACAATGTCCGCATACTCTGTATATTTGTCGTACAAAGCTGCCAATTTCCAATCCGATGTCAAGCTTTGCTCGGGATCTTGAAATTTGGTGACATTGCGGAATACTGTGACCTTTTCAATAAAGTTCTGGAGCGACTTTGCATGTACGGAGAATGTAGAATCGCCTTCTTGTTCTTCAATACCATGCTTTTCGTTCTCTTGAAGTTCGGAAATCCAGATGTTGATGACCTTCTCCAACTTTGAACCAACTAAGAAACAGAATGAAGCATCCTTTGCAGTGCCAGATTCCAAAAGCCTATCACCAAGTGCCTCACAAAGGTCTGGGAATTGAGCTGGATCGGCATATGTGCATAAAGTTGCCATCGATTCTTTCCAGTTCTCCAGGTCAGCATTGTATACAACATCCCACAAGTTTTTGCCAATGACTGAGCTAAGGAGTCGTAGATAGTTGGGACCTTCTGCCTTTTTGGCTAGGTAGGCAGTTTGAACTTTATCTAACAACTCCTTTCCACCACAGTTGGCAATGATGAATGCATCAGCAATACGATCCTCCTTGAGACAGACAGTCATCGCTTTTTCGAACTGGCCAAGCATCAAAGCTTTGGTAATTTGTTTTTCCGAGGCCGAATCAGACTCAGCAAATAGATGGAAAGGATTATCCGTCTTGGCCCCCTTATTTGCTGCGATATCCGTCAAAAAGTCATCACCTTCAGCACCATCGAAAAGTGTAGATAATCTATTATTCTTTCCTGCTTCTCCATTGGCATCAGCTGGCGCGTCTTCCGACTTTTCAGCATCCTCCACGTCAAGTCCCGATACACCATTCGTAATCTCGTCTACATCAGAGAATCCAAGGTATTCGGTGACTTGTTTTCGAGGGTTGGCTGCGATCAATGTCTCAATAACTCTCCAGTCTGCCTTCTCTTCCTCAGTCTTGGCCTGATCAATATGAGTTTCACAAATGCTCTTAATATCACCGGCCTTAAGGGCATTTTCGAAAGACTCAGTAGCAGATCCTACGTCTGAATCAACTGTAAATTGAGAGATTTGGATCTTGGAGGATCTAGGCTTTCCTGCTGCAGTTGGTAACAAATTAAAGCTCACTAATTTGCCACCGAATCCGAAAGAAGCTCCAACCGGTCGCTCAAGCCACTTAGGAGCTTTGTTCAATGAAAATGAAGCCCCTTGAGGCTCAGTTTGGGCCTTGGTGAAAAAGTCCTCGCCATCAATTGGACCTGCAACTGGGGCTTGGGATGCGGTAGGGTTTGTATTTTGTAAGGTCTGGATAGCTATCTTTCCATCAAAGGACGCAGTGGCAGATAATGCGGGGTTGTGTGGATTGAATCTAGTCTGGAAGGTCCAATTGGTGACTTCAGGGAATTCTCCATATTGTTCCCCAGTTTGAGGGTTCCAGATTAAAGTTCTGTTATCTTTACCGCAAGATATTAGTAGATCGGCATCTTGTTGACACCAGGACAATGACAAAATCCCCTGGATATGTCCTTGTAAAGTACGCTCAGGCGCATTTGAGTTTCTGAGATCCCACAAAAGAATTACCGGTGTAGAATCGTCGGGTGTAGCAGTCAAAAGCTTTGTCGCATTATTTGGATCCCATGCAATTGCTCCTACTGCTTTTCGGTTGTTGCTCAATTGTAGAGAAGCCTTCTTTGTCTTCAAATCCCAGACGGTAACATATCCTCCACTTCCACCAGTTGCCAAAATATGGGGAACTTTCCTATTCCATGCAACACATTCAAGATCATCCGATCGTGCGGCAGCTGTGCCTAATCTAAACGGATTGGAGATATCGTTTACGTCGTAGATGAACAGCTCGCCCTTGGAGCCAGCAGTAGCTAGGATTTGTGGCTTCAATGGGTTAAATTGAAGAGACTTGATAGCACCCGTATGTTTCGTCGTCCTAGACATGAAAGCATCCTCAGCTCCTTGTATAAGTTTCTCTGCATCCCATATATCCAACGATCCATTCTCGAGTGCGCCTGCGATTATGCCCCGCGGATGGTCTGCGTTTGCTGGTGCCCATGCAATGTCGTGAAATCTAATGGAAAAGTTAGTCTTTCTACAATCCCTAAGCTCGATACAAACAATTCATCGGCGTACCTGGAGTCTGTGCTAATGCTAGCAATAGGTTGTAGTTCTACACCTTGCTCGTCATTATCCAAGCTTAAATCCCAAAGCTCCAGCTTCGTCTCATCAGAGAAATCCGCATCAACAGCCCCAGCCCTGGTACCCGTGACAACCAAAGGAGTCTCTGGACCTGGGGACCAGGCGAAGGCCGCAGTTCTGGGAATTTCCCTTAGACGGACCATTGTCTCGTCTCTATTTGTAGAATTAACAAGCCAGATTACACTGCGGAAAGTTTGCCGCGGTGTGCCTTTTCAGCCGATTTTGTTGCTACGCCGGTAGATACAGATTGAAAAGACTCGTAGATTTTAAATTGTATGAGACGTGTAAAGACAGCAAAAGTTGCGATCTGTTGAATCGTTTATAGGTAGTAGTAGCACTGTGAACACCTTTCCCCATAATCGGATGGTCATAGCGAGGAATTCCGCCCATAGGATTGTGAATCTTAAAAAAACAGCTGACACGTGATTAAAGGCTCCTTCTTTCGCGATTTGTTGGATAGCATTTGGGCAGTTTGGAAGTGACAAATACACCAGAGATTCGTTTAAAATAAATTCAGTCTAATACTTCCCATTATCTACAAGATGACCGACCAAGCACGTTGGAAAGCTACTGTGTATGTTGGTGGTCTCTCCCACATGGTTACCATCGCAAATCTCGAAGCCGCATTTTTACCCTTTGGAGAAATAGCAGATGTCTCTATACCGTAAGTCCTCCGCGCTATATTTCGATGTCCTCTTGTTGAAAATCTTCTAGCAAAGCAGATGGGCCCAACTCAACAGAGCCACATCGAGGTTTTGGATATGTAGAGTTTGAGGATCCAGAAGATACCAAAGATGCCATTGACAATATGGATCAATCTGAACTATTTGGAAAGGTGATTAAAGTCAATGCGGCTAAACCTCCAAAGAATACGAATGAGGGATTGGGAAGCAAGACGGCTTTATGGGAGCAGGTAAGACTTCATGGAATCCTGCTGTGTGATGGAAGGGGGCGGCTTGGGTGGTCACTAATTTTGTGACATAGGAGGGCTGGCTAGCAGAGAATGCTGTGAGTGAGGAGGATAAACTGGCAGCCGAACAAGCAAGAGCCGGAGTTCAGGATAGACCTGACGATCCTATGCAAGGTCTAGAGGGATTGGATATAGCTGGGCCTAAGCCAGCTTGAAGAAGGGCTATGTTGTGCTCGTAGGCTACAGGTCATGAAATGTGTTACTAAGGAGTTCTCGGAGTAAAGCAAAAGGAGTTCAGGTGGCAGGAAGATTACATATGCTCTTCGATGTATAGGTTGGAGTTGGACGATGAAAAGCATGAGATATCAGGTATGGAGACTATGTATTTATGAGAAATAAGGGCCAATTCTGTACAACTCATTCGAGGTTTGGCCGATGCATCCGTTCTAATTTCTCCATTCCATTCTTGCCTCCATCGTGTTCCACTCAGTATTGCTTTTGATGTATGAACTTTTCCCCGACAAACAGTCTGTTTCCAACCCTCAGAAACGTTGTAGATGAATAGTCTATTCCTTTCCTCTGTTTTGTCTCGAGAGACGCATTTGCTTGTCAACAACAAGTTTGCGGCCCAAAGAGTAGAAAGCAAATCCGACAGCGACACCGACGACGATTCCTTCAAATTGATATCAGTGTAAATTCTGGCCGTATTCTGGCGAACATGTAAACGTACCCAAAGGAACCAACTCGGGAGGAATCTTCTTCCATTGGCGCAATCGTTGCGAGATAGTGTGGGCTGTCGACCTTAGTGTCAGTCCCGATTCTCATCTAGTAAAAACGCATCTCCCAATCCAAATTCTATTCTCCCCCTCCAGCTCTCCGATTATCCAATCGTGGGGTAAACGTACCGCTATGCTCCTCCTTCTGTAAAGGCACAAAACATTAGCCCTCCCACCCTCAAAACCGCGAAATCGCAAATCAACAATGAACAAACTTACGGGCACAGGCGACCACATCTTCTTGGTCGGTTGGAACATTCTAGTAACGGCAGTAGGATGCATCTTGAACCGTTGTTCAATCTTCAAGTCTTTCTGATTAGAATTACACTCAACTTCCGTGGTCTGAGGTTTTGGAGGACCTGCATTTCCGCACTAGCGAGCTCGGCCTTAGCCGACTTCATCCCGAAGTGAGAAAGTGCAGGCCCATTCCAATCAACCTCACATCATTCGTCTCAATTGAACCACCACCACCACCACCACCATCTCCCCTCTAAATTCTGTGATTGCCAGAAAACAAACACGCAAATATGTCTGAAGATCGCGAGACCAAGCCCTTCAAGTTCGTTACTGGTATGTGCCATCCTGGGGCCCGCCCACTGTTTGTATATTTAGAAATGGTCTGATTGATTGCTAACTGAATTTCTAAACAGCTGGTATGCAATTTATCCGCCGCCGGGCTCTGCGAAATGACCGGAAGACTGATTGTAGGATATAGGATTCGACGCTCGATTCCCCAACCAGAACCAAACTAAACATTGCTGGCAAAACTACGTCGATTATCACAAGTGTATCCTAGCCAAGGGCGAGGATTTCGCACCATGCCGTCAAGTACGTTTCTGCGATCGATTGAGAGGGGAAAATATACTGATAGAGGGGAATAGTTCTTCTTGGCCTACAAGTCATTGTGCCCAAGTGCCTGGGTTGAGAGATGGGATGACCAACGTGGTTAGTAGTGACACTTGAAAGGGGCCGGAAGGCAAGGTTTGGCTAACGTGGAATGTTGTAGACAACGGAACATTCCCCACTCGATTGGATCAGTAAGGTATTTGAAGGTTCTAGAGGGTTGCATGGTGGGATAGAGCAGAAGACGTTCACAATGGATATGTATCATACAGAGTCATTATGCGAATTGATGAGAAACGAGTCGGCTTGAATAGACGTGCTTGATTCAAATTTGGTAGATGTGTTGATATCCATGAGTTATGCATTTTCAAAGTGCATTCAGGCTTTTTTCAAAGCTCTCAATCGGTCATATCTCAACATCGCTCCAAGCAAGACTTGTGCACCATTCCCACAGTCTTCTGGACTACAATACTCGGCTGGATTATGACTAACGCCGTCTTTACAAGGCACAAAGATCCTACTTATGGTTAGTGATATTCTGGTATTAGCGAAAAGGAAGAGGATTACATTGAGGTTGGAGCATGTCTCGAAGTATAAACACTAGGTTGTGTTTAGCGTGGTCCTTATCATCAGATTCTCATTCTTACCTATCATGTCCAGCGCCTGATACCATTCTCCTATAACTTTCGGAGACGGCTTCTGTTTGATCTCCGATACCAGAAGCTGTTCCAGCCAAATCTCCAGCACTCTCTTCTACGCATCGAATACAATCTTTGTTGAAATGAGTAGCCGGAGAATCTGTATCCATTTTCCATTCCACCAAACAACCTTTACCTCTCTTTCCACTAGCCCCAAGAGTTGGCATCTGCTCTCCAGCAGCAATCAACTCAAAATCTCTTTTTAATTCTTTCTCAAAGTTCAGAAGCCTTTGATCCTCCGGAGACCTGATATCAAGTGAAAACTGTACGAATCCCGGAACAGTATTAGTAGAGCCAGGCTTGAGAGTGAGGATACCTAGCATAGGTAAGCAGAGTACCGCAGTTTATCTTGGGGGAAAGGCTTCATTACCTGTGGATGCTAGACAACCCATTTCAGCTGCCTTGTTGTGGCTATGAAGAATAATTTTTGCAGCTGTAAGCATAGCATCTGAACGATTCTCGAAATCCGTTGTACCTATAAAGCATTCTCAATTCATCATCCGACCCACATTCACATCTCTTCAATTATAGATACATCTCTATAACATAACGTACCAGTATGACAATCTCTTCCCCTCACTGTAATAGTATACCACCTATAAGCCTGCACGCCCGTCACAGCTCCAATCTTCGTTTTACTCTTCTCAAGAATTGGACCTTGTTCAATATGTAGTTCGAAATGTGCACCGATTGGATTATCCAGGTATGAAGTGGGAGTTGCACCGAAATATCCTATTCTTTCTAATTCTGATTTCATGGTTGCCGGCCCATTTACTTCGCACAAATCATGAGCCACCGAGAGGGGAATGTCGTGAGCCCACACGCCGGAGGATATCATGGATTTGGGGAAGCGCGCTCCTTCTTCTGTGGTGGCAGTTAGAGAGAAGGTTAGAGGGGGGTGTTGGGGTGATGCAGATGTGTACCGTTTGTCCACTGTATCCATCAAGTTAGTCTGTCATTGTATATAGCCACGGAATCATAGTACAACAAACATTAATAACTCCCGTAGGATATTCTGTTTCAATATCAAAATTATTCATTGTCTTCAACGCTTCAATGCCTGCGTGAACACCCAATATTCCATCGTATCTTCCTCCCGTCGGCTTTGACTCATTAGTCAATCATCATACAATGTTATCTTCATATATAGGCTAGCATTCTGGAATTACGTACCTGTGTATCCAAATGACTCCCCGCATAGGTAGCTGGTCCATCCTTTCTTCCGGGTCGGATTGCAAAAATATTACCTTTGTTGATCACTCATTATCACATGCGCTTTCGAGTATTTTATATGATGATGTTATATGTGAGAGGAGTGAAAGGGAGGAGGGTAGGTATATGAAGATGGAAAATAGAATAGATAAGGAGGACAGAAGCTCACCCATAGTGTCAATCTTCACATCACAGCCGATATTTTTAGTTGTTTCGACGAACCAATCCCGTGCTTGTTTGTCGGCGGAGGAGAGCGCAAGTCGGGACATTCCTAGATCAGTTTCCCCTCTGGATTGCTATCAGAATTCTGTGCATATCATGCAACATACTGTAGATTGAAAATACTGAAAGATGCTACATGCAAATGATCACAGAGACTGATCCTGTAGTAGAACCATGTCATTTGCGGCTTGCCCCATATGATAATCGCTTGACCTTTTTATAACTGCACTACACAGATTGGAGCCCGTAATAAGAATGGCATGGAGGCAGGCTGCATTGAGCAACATCTAAACATTTCCAACGTGCAAATTGCATCCGCTCCAGACCCGAAGACTTTCAGGAACTTTCCAATGTCATTTCTCTGTCACAAATTTCATCCTTGCTTCCACGTCGTCCCCCTTTCCCTTCCCTTATATCGAAGTCCAAAGCTCAAACTCAATGAAAAATGGCCAAACATACGTTCCCCATTTCTCCCCCCTCCCCCATTGACACGTATAATGCAATTCCTTCCACAATCTCTCCCTATCAACCTTCCGCGCGATCTCCCTAATTCTTCCATCTGATAAATCCCCTGTTCTCAACGAGCCCTGGGAATAGTTCCTAATCCAACCGAAGTTTCCAATCCTCGGGGTTGTTCTCAAGGGGATGGTTTTGATAAGAGTTCTTGAATTTAATCTTGACATTTTTAGGAAATACAGGAATTCAATTAAAATACATTGGTTTAAATGGAAGTCAAGATTGTATTTATTAATTTATGATATATCGTTATTTTATTGTTGGTAATGCTTATCTGAGGGGAAGCTGTCCTTGAGCAGGTAGTTATCAGTGACCCCGCTACCAAGCATCTGCTACTGCATATGTAGGTACTCGTATGCATTATCAGGGCCATACTTAGGTACAGGACAGGTAGATAGCACAACATTTATATCAACCTACTCAAAATGTTATTTCTTGCTACTAATTGGAAGAAGGATAAGAGATATCTGTATTCTCACGAACAAGCCATGATTTCATTATCATTCAATTTGTCATGCACATCATTATCTAAGCGGATCATGACTGTGTTCCATTCACATTCGATCTATTTCCTTGTACTTCAGAAGAGTAGTTGGTCCTAGTAGAGTCAAATCTCGGTGAATGTTTAAGAGGGGGATGAACAAGGGTGAAGAGCGAAGTAGAGGAGTGTACGAAGGAGAGGAAGTAGCTTGTACATATTCACAAGTAGTCTCAGTATCAGTAGGTTAAAGATTAGTTATGGTTCATTTGTAGTGATCACTATTTAAGCAGTCCGTGATTATCCCGCTAGAAACCATAGTCCCAAACGCCGCGCTGTAATATCAATGCATATGAAAGTTTGGATCATTTAGCTTTCCCCTTGCCTTTTCCTTTTCCTTTTGCGGGAGATTTTGCAGATGCCTTTGCAGGTGCCTTTGCTTGGGATTTGACAGGTATCCTTGATCGAGCTTTGCCTTTTGTTTGAGCTGGGGCAGGGGGTGGTGTTGGTTCTTTGTCAACTTCCTCAACTTCAACCTCCTGATCCTCTTCTGCTTCTGCTTTTGCTTCCAGAACTTCCTCGGGTATCGCAGGTTTCTTGGCTTCGACTACATCGTCTTCATCTTCCTCTTCCTCTTCCTTGTCGTCATCACTCATAAACTCGTCATCCTCGTCAAAGCCAAAGAAATTCATAGCCTTCGGCTTACCGTGTGTAGAGTCAGATGGTGGAGTTGTATCGTTCGAGTCTGTACCACCCATAACCTCATCTTCTTCACTTGTGGAGCCATCGGTTCCTGAGCCACTACCTGAAGATGTTGCCAACAAATTATCCTTATAGTTCCCAGCTTTCATAGCCGCAAGAACAGCCTCACGCGTTCTCTCTCCGGCTTCCTCCTTATCCTCAACCCATTTACCATCCACCTTTCCTTTAGTGCCATTCTTAATTTCCTGTTCTCTTCGTTCTGCCAATTCCACAACTTGTTCCCATCGTTTCCTTCTCTCTTCCTTATCTTTCTTTGCCATTTCTGGTTTGATTGCTAGATATTCAGCTAATGCCTTTGCTTCATTGACTGTTCTTAATCTGCGACCATCCAAATTTCGACTTGATCCATTTTGGTCACCTTGTCCCTTCTTACGTTTCGAGGACATGCGACCTCCAGCTGCACGAAGTTGAGATCCAAAACCTCCTTTGCCACCACATAATCGCGCTGAAAGTCGTAAAGATAGAAATTCATCATCCGGATTTGATAGCAAATCTGATATTGAAGAATTCGATTCGGCAGAAAGTAATTTATTCGAGATAGTTGTGAGAATAAGGCGACGATCTTGAGATGGAATGCGCTCATAAAGTTTGTCTTGAAGCTCTGATACAGTGGTGGTTGTAGGCAGAGGTAGGGATAGAGTCGAAGGTAGATTCAAGCCCGGAAATGAAGTCAACAAAACGTTGACGGTTTGAGGTTGTGATACCATATTGTCGTCTTTTTTTGTTATCGGGATTGTTTTAATGAAATTCAAACTATTGTCGCGCTTTGCGATGTTGTTGGTGGTTTTCGACAAGTTTGATATCAACATCCAAATGGTGGAAGTTCCTGAGCCGTAGAACACCCGAGTGGCTGAGTGGCTTTGCTAGCTGTCACGTGCATATATCTTGGATTCTGCAAAGCTATCAGCCACATCTTCGCTTGCTAGCGCTTGAACCACACAATTCAGAATATTCGAATTTTGAATTGCTTCGATTTTTCTTACACCTCTCGACATCGACAAACTTTCAAGCAACTCGACAAACCGCCAAGATGTAAGATATTAACAATTGTCTTGATGTTATTATCTCAAAATGCAAAAAGACTAATAAATTAATTTACAGGCTTATCCCAAAGGCCGACCGCAAGTTGATTCACGAGTACTTGTTCCGTGAGGGCGTACTTGTCGCAAAGAAGGAGTACGAAAACAAGCACCCAGATATCGACACCCGTAACCTTTACGTTGTCAAGGCTTGTCAATCTTTGACCTCCCGTGGATATGTCAAGACTCAATTCTCTTGGCAATACTACTACTACACCCTCACCCCAGAGGGTCTCGACTACCTCCGCGAATGGCTCCATCTCCCCGCTGAGATTGTCCCAGCTACCCACATCAAGGTCCAAAGATCCCACGCTCCTCCTCGTGGAATGATGGGAGGTGACGAGCGTGAGCGCAAGCCATTCGGTGGCCGTGGTGGACGTGGTGGTGGAGAGCGTGGTGACCGCAGTGATTACCGCAGACGTGAGGGTGGTGAGAGCAAGGAAGGTGCCGCACCAGGAGAGTTCAACCCTACATTGTAAGTTTCACGCATCTATCATATTTGGTTGATCAATCCTAACACTTTCTTTCACAGCCGTGGTGGTGCTGGACGTGGACGTGGAGCTGCCCCTCCTTCGTAGATTTATTCTACAATTTCTTTACGCTTGCTCAATGCATCCGACAGGAATTCCTCATAAACACTTGTATGGTTGGACGACTGGACAGTAGCGCGTTAGGTCGAGTGAAAGTAATCGCCGGGGGAGCATAGGTCGAAGGTGGAAGTTGACACTTCAAAACTGTCAGGTAGCATAATGAGCTTCTTCCAATACCCCTTCAATTTATTATGACGTGAAAACACGATACTCCCTCACACATCCTGCGACTCATTCTCTGCTTTTCTTTTCATGACTGTTTGAATTTGTTGACGTCTCGTATGAAATTGATGATTTGGTGAAGTTAACATTGTGTGTTACTTTGAACTGCTTTTGATATTTATGTACATGTTAAATTTTTACCTAATGATTCCGAACGAAACGCAACGGCCCGGACACATTCTATGCCACATATCACTCGGGTCTTTCGGTCATGGAAGATCAAAAAAAGGTCAAGGGAGATCAAAGATTCGAGATTTCAAATGGAAGCCTCAAAACTCATCAATATGTGCTCAGATCAGGTCATGCTCGTTCATGTAATTATTCCAAAAAGTGTTTCGTTGTTCATACAGATGGAAGGTCGGCCTATGAAGTACTAGAAACCGAAAAAAGCAACCCCACCAATATCCCCGCGACCTTTTCCGATTTTTGACCCACCCAGAGCAGTAATCATGTAGTCAATATCGTCATCGTACTTCTGCTCGGTCTTACTCTCTATTTTGATGTCCATTTCGGACCATGATATATTCGGAATCTGGATGTTGATATCGATCTTCTGGTGTTCCGTCGATGAGTGAAAGAGTTTTGTAGTGGAGATGGCCTAGAATGTCAAACAGTCCAAATCCATAAAACTATCGACGATGTATGTAAAAATGTTGGTGACTCGTGAGAAACGTGGGGTTGTACGATTATTTTTTGATCCTCACATCCTATTGCCTTTCGTGGTGTTTAGATGGCTTGGGAAAGCTTGAGGAATGGATGTCCGATTGGTGCTTGATGCCTTGGTAACGCGCTTTTCCTTGTCGGATTTTGCAGAGGAGGTGTGGGTGAGTAGAATCTGGAGGAAGTATATTGAAGGTTGTTGTTAACGTTGTGCGGTGTGAATGTTTATGTTTGATGCTTCTCGATCATTCTCTGAATCCTTAGGAACCGACGAGAATTAAACCTATCTTGCATTCTGCTGGATGTCTTTCGATGATTGATATCGGACCTCATCGTATAGCTCATAAATCAGCAATAAGAACAAGTCAGTCGCAACGCCGTCTAGTCCGAACTCATCTTGTCGTAGCTACCTAGCATTATTAGGTACATATGGCTTGCACAGTGCACTTCAACTCGCACCAACTCATACCTTAAAGTTTCTTATGGAGCCAATTGCAAGGAACCGTTCCCACGAACCGCTCAGCTAGTCATTCCATGATCCAAGTAAGATTGATGGAAACATTTCCAGATGATTCAATGGCGGGGCATCCAACAACAACAGGATCATAATCATTTCATGCTAGGTACCCCACCCCATCATGACAAGGGGTTGGCTGTCCCTCCCTCTTTCCATATCTTGCGTAGCTTCATTACTATAAGAAAGCCAATCTTCTTCTCTCTCGTCTTGCTCTTCTTCTTCATACCATCTGAAAAATAATACCCTCAATAACGTACCTTCAAAAGATACCCTACTTTAACTCTTTAATTGTTTAACTTTCTTCAAAAGAATCAAAAGATCATACCAGCCACTATGTCTCTCCCAACTTCCATGAAAGCTTTGAGGTATGAATACTGTTCTTGTTTTGGTGAGGGGTTTTGGGGTGGCATCGTGTTGGAAGTAGCAGTGTATCCAGCAGATGTTTGACAAAGTCAAATCGTTTGTACAGTTGATATCGATTGAATGGTTCAAACCATTCAATGATTGAAGCCGCTTGACAGATTGAAATCTTTCGAGAAATCGAGAACGTTTGATACACTAGAACCAAACACGTTTCTATCCTTTCACCACTTGAGAAGGCACATCAATTAAGACACTGAAGCTAACTCGAACGATAATAGATACTCCAAGCCAGAAGAATACGGAATCGTTGAAGTTCCTCTCCCAAAGCTCCGTGATAACGATGTCTTGGTAAAGGTCAAGGCCTGTGGTGTTTGCGGAACCGATTTGCACATCCACGAGGGAGAATTCATTGCAAAGGTAAGAGAGAGAGACTTCCCTTTTATATATGTGAATTAGAAAGGGGTGATGTGATATCTTCCCCACCATGACGTTTTATCTATCAAGACGAGTATGCGGGTTGAGAATATACACCTGGATGGGTACCTACACCTAGGTAGGTACCTTGAGAGGTTTACGTGCTTTAAGCTAAACATGTTGGGATGAGTTTATATATTTTATAAGAATCAAAAGCTAACGTGACGTTATTTATAGTTCCCTCTTATTCCTGGTATGTTATACCTTCCTTCCTTTCTTCGTCGATTCCTTGCTTTGAATATTCGATTCTCTTTGGCTGGTGAAGACCGTTGCATATCTTGGCGAGTTCATGGACAGATAACATAGTTGGTTGGAGATGGGAACACAAACTTTCCCTCCAGTCATCCTCTAGTGGAGGATTGGTCATCTGCAGACTAGTTTCTCAGTCAGGATACAACCAATATGGACATGTCGAAAGAATTTCCACTTTCGTTCCTACCTCACAATGTTACATTCCATCAAGGCTTTGATCAAGCATCTAACATTGGGATCTAATAGGACATGAAACTGTCGGTGTTATTGCTGCCACTGGACCTAAGGTCAAGGGCTTCAATGTTGGTGACAGAGTTGTAGCTGAGTGAGTACTTTTCAATCATACATGCGTGTTCAATATACTAATCTATCTCCAGTAACTCCGAACTCTGCGAGGAGTGCTTCTACTGCCGTCGTGGTCAACTCTTGTTGTGCGAGAACTTCAACGCTCACGGTGTTACTATGGGTAAGCTAAACACAAACTCCAACCAGATATCAAAGCTAATTCAATTTAGATGGTGGTTTCGCAGAGTACTGTGCTTACCCAGCCGCTAAGGTTTTCAAGATCGAGAACCTCTCAGATGTTGACGCTACCCTCCTCGAGCCAGCCTCATGCGCTGCTCACGGTCTTGAGAAGATTGCACCAAAGATGGGTTCATCCGTTCTCATGTTCGGTGCTGGACCAACTGGTCTCGTTCTCGCTCAATTGCTCAGACAAAATGGTGGATGCAAGGTTGTCCTCGCCGCTCCAGGTGGTCTTAAGATGGATCTCGCAAAGAAGCTTGATGCCGCTGATATCTACATCGAACTTTCCCGTGATAACCCAGAAGCTCAATTCCAACAAATCAAGGATGAGTACAAATATGGTTTCGACATTGTTGTTGAAGCAACCGGAAGCGCTAAGATTCTCGAGGATGCTATCAACTACGTTCGTCGTGGAGGTAAGCTCGTAGTCTATGGTGTCTACAGCAGCTCTGCTAGAGTTACCTGGCCACCATCCAAGATCTTCGGTGATGAGATCACCATTCTTGGTTCCTTCTCCGAGACTTACATGTTCCGTAAGTATTCCTTCATCTTGTGTACACTTATTCTGTTGCTAACAATACATAGCTGCTGCCATCGATTACCTCGACTCAGGCAAGGTCAAGGTTGAGGGTATTGTTAACAAGACCTTCAAGCTTGAACAATGGGGTGAAGCTTTGGAGTCCATCAAGAACAAGAGTGCTATTAAGGCAGCTATTATTTTCGATTAGATTATGTTGGTGTGTAAAAATGGGAGTCAAAAAAATGACATGATGTGATGTTTTGCTCAGTATTGAGAGATATTTTACCTTTAAAGCGAGCTATTAGAGCTAGATTTACGATTCAATGAAAAACAATTTACTGTATAGATACTTTTTATGGCTAGTGTGAATTTGTTATGTGTGTTGAAGCTATCTATTTTGGTTGATTATTGTATCATGGAGGGTTTGCACGCGGGCACCTCAATGAAATGAGTGTCCAGGTTCAACGATTAATTAATTCATTTGTTGATTCTATCTACTCGTATTGAGATGCATATTAATTATGCACAGATTGTTTATTCCTTGACCACCATTTTCAATCATCCTCCTCCTCCCCGTCATCATCGGCTCACTGATCCGAGGAACTTTTACAGTTCCTCCTATTCTCAACTCATCATTCTATCAAAATAGACCCAAACTAAACCCAAACTATACTCTGGGTTTAATGATTTTATATTTCATATTTCATATATTTTGTACATCTAGTCGGTCATACATACATCTTCACTTCGCATTGAACAGGTTGCTTGGAAGTTGGAAAGTGATGGTGGTGGTGATGAGTTAGTTATATTGATGTTTTGTGGATGAGATGTAGATTGGATGAACACCTGAAGATCTGGATTCTGGGCGGATGTTTTGGGGGGGGGGGATTAGAGGGTTGTGAGAGGATGGAAGGATGAGTAAATGAATAAATGAATGAATGGATAGAGAGGAGGCATGGAAGGAGAAAAGTAAGGCGAATGAAACAATGGGAGGGATTTGAAGCGATTTGTTGAAACCCAAAGGGGGGAGGGAGCTCGGGAGATAAAGTTGATGTTGTGTTGGTTCGATTGGTTGTGTGAAGCATGATTTTAGAAGATTGACAAAATACTTTTCATTTTTCTAATACTTCTCATATCCGACAAGTCTGGAAAACACTTACTTATCTTGTAATCAAACTTATTAACCTATCATTAAACGCTGTTATTCTATGCTATGTTCCGCTTTCAAAACAGATTCCGAACTCTAAACCCTAAACCGCTGAATCACCACTTAAACCCGTTCCCGCCCTGGATTCCTTTTGAAGCATCGATCTCGTCGTCAGCGCCGAACCCAGACTACCCATTCCCGCAATCTTCTCCTTGACAGAATATTGATCCATCGAAGATCTGCCGATCGAAGTCGTCGACTTCGCAAATGTGAAGAAGCCCTGTCGCAATCCCAATTTGCGATCCCGTTCAGCCTCTTCCTCATCGAGCTGCTCGAACAATCCGAAATATCGCTTCGTCGCCTTCCACGCTTCGATACCTAGAACGAATACGAAAACGGCACCGAAGGCTAATGACCATTCCCACGTAATACCCACGTGTTTGAAGACCGAAGTATTCAAACCCGGAATGTAGACTGCGGGGAAGACAGACAAAGCACCGATGACCACCGCCCAGAACAAGAAACGATTCTCATACACGTCTTTGAAGAACGGGAATGAGCTTTCCGAAGTGGCGTCCAGACGAAACATGCTGCGACGGATGGATTTGAATTCCCAAGCCGAGATGAGGATTAACCAAGTGAGCTCTGCGAAGACGGCGGCGCGAGCCCGGAAGACGGGACCACAGGCTGGTCCATAGCTGCGGTTGCAATCACGGCCTAGATTTCCGTCGTTGACGCCGTAGATGATGATGACGAATGTGAGAAGTGTGCAGGCTCCCATGAGGATACCATAGACAACCATATCGACGAGAATTTGTGTGGTGAACACACCTCGCTTATTATCGTGAGGGGGGCGTCTCATCACGGTCGAACTTGCTTTTTCTTTTCCCAAGCCAAAAGCGGGGAAACTGGATGTAAGCATATTAATCCAAAGAATCTGCAATGGACTCAGTGGGAATACAGATTGTCTGTTGACGTCTTGGAACCCGAGACCGGCAATCAACAATATCACTTCTCCCACATTGGACGAAAGGAGATGGAGTACGAATCTCTGGATATTGTCAAACATGCGACGTCCCTCACGAATAGCTGATACGATACTATTGAATTTATCATCGAGAAGTACCATCTTGGCTGCGGATTTGGCAACGTCGGAGCCGGCGATACCCATGGCGATACCGACGTCTGCTTCGGAAAGACTAGGCGCGTCGTTTACTCCATCACCTGTCATGGCCATGTACAATCCTCTTCTTCTCAGCGCATGGATCATACGCGTTTTCGTATCCGGGGCGCAACGAGCGAGTACCAGAGGGAGAGTTGGAAGTGCGTCGATTTCTGCATTCGTGAGGTGATCAAAATCCGTAGCCTTCATAACGACAGATGCAGAAACTCCAGCAGATAGCTGTCCAAGATTTCTCGGGATGATACCGATTTCCTGGGCGATGGCTTTCGCAGTAGAGGGATGATCTCCAGTGAGCATGTGAACTTTGATACCGGCTTGAGTACACTCCCTAATAGCATCTTTTGTCTCATCGCGAGGTGGATCGTAGATTCCAACTAGGCCAAGAAGTGTAAGATCTTGTTCCACTTCACCTCGTAGACTCTCATCATTTAAATTCTTGTCTTGTGAAGCAGCAGTGGTCCAAGGTTTGGCGGCTACTGCAAGGACTCGCTGGCCCTGTTCGGCAAATCTGTTCATCTGTCGATTTATCGATTCCTTTAGCTCGTCCGTCATTGTCTCTTTAGTATTTCCACTTCCAACAGAAGAGCAGAGATCCAAAACTCTCTCGACAGCTCCTTTGGTGAAGACTATATGCTCTCCATCTGGTCGTTGATAGATAACGGACATTCGCTTGATGCTACTATCAAATGGAAACTCGGCGGTTTGTTTCCATCCTTTACTTTCGAAAACTCTTTTTCCAGATTCAAATCGATGAGTGAATACCTGCAGAGCGATTTCTGTTGGCTCGCCGGTCGTCTGCCACTTTTTAGTCGTCTCGCCTTCTACCACTTCATGTTTAACGGTAGCAAGATTACAAAGTGCAGCCGACTGAAGAAAACTCTCTAGTTCTGGTACAATCTCGGCTGGCTCTTCCTCTTGTTCTGACGATGGGTTCTTTCTTTCATCTCTAACCGCTTTCTCGGCTGGAATGTCAAATTTCAGAGCAGCAGCACTGCGCTGAGTATCGAAATCTATTTTTGCAGTCTCGCTGGGAGAATCTGGTGTCTGCATACCTTCGGACTTGAGTGGTGCCTTGGTAACAGTACCCTCGGTAGGATTGTTGGGATCCATAGAATGATTCACTGTATAGATTCCAATTTTAGGAATCCATACTTTCTTAACGATCATGGCTCCTTGGGTAAGTGTACCGGTTTTGTCGGAGCAAATATTTGTAACTCCACCAAGTGCTTCGAGTGCTGATAGATCTCGGACGACGACATTAGCTTTACGCATAACGGTCATGCCAACAACCATTGTGATTGTCAATACTCTAAATGATGTTAGTTGTAGTTCGGATTTTAATGTTGCATCTTGAGTAGACCATGGTTGAGTGTACTTACGCGATCAAAGATTCAGGAATAATAGCAATACCAGTTGAGATAGCATAAATAGCCACCTCATCTGTGACGATGAATCGATTTACACCAAACACTACAATTGCCAGTAGAATTGCGCATCCAAAAAGGATATACGCAACCTTACTCAGCTTTCTCTGCAAAGGAGTACCTTCAGTAAGTCCCAAGAACTTTCCAACAAAATCGTAAGTACGTCTAGCAGCTCCCTTAACCGGCTGCGCTTTTCCATATTTCTTATAATTCATCGATCTGCCCTCCTTGCGTTGCTTCTTCGTCGTCGAAGCCGCGATCTTTCCAACCTCAGTTTGCATGCCTGTAAATACAACAATTCCTCTTCCGCGGCCTTTGATAACCGTCGTGGTAGAATATGCCATGTTGTTACGATCCGCAATGCCAACTTGCTCTTCTGTTGTCGCTCTCTCTTCAGTACCAGGCACACAGATCTCATTCGAGGTGATCTTCTCAACTGGCTCAGATTCTCCCGTCAAACTCTTCTCTTCACAGGTCAAATTCATAGCTTCGAAAATGCGCAAATCGGCTGGTACCGTATCGCCCGTTTTCAAAAGTACGATATCACCAGGGACAACTTCCGCACTGGGAACCACAATGACAGATCCATCTCGCAGTACCGAAGCCGATGGCGAAGAAAGAGCTCTAAGGGAATCCATTTTCTTCTCTGCACTGAACTCTTGAAAGAAACCAATCATAACATTTAGTACAATGACGGCAACCAAAACTCCTCCTTCAATGTAATCGCCTACGCCAAAACTAAGCGCCATAGCGAATACCAGAACGAGAATCATGGCGTTGGAAATTTGTTTTATGAGGATTCTATACCAAGAGATGGAACCGCCGGTATCAAGCTCATTGGGTGGATGTGAAGCTTGTATTGATTGGACTTTACTTGCTGTAAGACCTGTCTCGAGGTTGGTGGAAAGCTGACTGGCGGCATCTTGCGGAGTGAGAAGGAAGGCGTGCGGACGGGTGGTATAGGATGTTTTTTCTTGAGATGCCATTGTTGATAATTGTATCAGACAATGTTTGGGGTGTGTGGGTATCGTAAGATGTGTATGTATGTATGTTGTATGTATATGAGATGTGATTAAGTATTATATTAAACAAAAGGATATCGTCATCTATTCCTAATCGAGGGAATAGTAGGGAATCAAATCGTGATAATCAAGAGATAATTCTTAAGCGAATACATCCAGACCCAATGCGGGGTAACACATCCTTATATATTCCTTCCAGAAAACCAAAAGATCATTTACCTTGCTCTTTCCCACCGTATCGGCCTATGATAGACCTTCCTCCAAGTCATCAGGAAGCTACATTGGCGGAATAGCCAAGAGCCTTGAAGCCAAATATTGGGAAACTTGTACCTATCATCGTAAGAAAGAACGACGCGATGAGCTCATTAACTCATGGCACTTTCTTAGTTCTACTCAAACAATCTCTTTGTATGGATAGCATCATTAATGTCCAAGAGCCAAGACGTCTTGGTTTGGGCAGTCTTAGCCGGGTTTGGCTTGGCCCTCCCCGCATCGTAGATTCCGCTCGGAAACGGAGTGGAAAATTGTCATGGGAAGAAAAGACAAGATGTCATTGGATATTGTTATATCACGTGACTACTTGGCGCACGTGCTAAGCCTTTGTTTAGTGGCGAAGTCGACCGAAGACATATTTTGTGGAATCTTGGCTCATATTGACGAATGAGAGACTGTATTTTGTTCTTGGTACTCTTGGTGGTGATAAGTGAGCGGTGCCGGTTTCCGCCATTAATAATGAGACTTCTCATGGCGGAAGAGCGTTTGCGGCTTGGTGAGGTGATAGATGACCATGAAAGAGTGATGTCATATTGCTCGTCTATCACGCTCTCTTTCCTACTTTATAAATATCGGCTAATAGTCGGCTCTCATAAGCGGCCGACTAGGAACTAGTCGGCCGCTTATGAGAGCCGACTATTAGTTGCGATTGAGAGGGATTCGCAATTTGAGGAATATCGAAACCCGTTCAAGAGGCAACAGATGAATATGTCGTGGCTGGAAGGCTTTGACAAGCTGGTGTGAAAGAGGAGATGGGGCCAGGTCAGAAGAGATCAGATCAGACTTCAAAAGAGGCACCCATCTGGAAGGAAATCGATACACTATGTATCTCTATCTTTCAAGCAGCGTAGACGATTAAGGTTATCCGAGTATAACTTTGCGGAGAGGGGGACTCATGGACTCCATGCTAGTAATATTCCATCCATTCGGGAAAAGTTTCTCCGTCCCCTTCCCCGCATTTTCAACCCTTCCATTCTGAGCCCAATCGGAGCTTTCGGGGAGATGTGCATACTACCGCCATATATACTTTTCGGAAAATAACTCCAGCGAGAATTGATGATCGTACATATAGTGAGGAGGTGTGGTGTGGAGGGTTTGGCCCTTTGTATATATAAATACTTAGACAAGTCGTCGATTGCTTCAAGGTCGTTTTGACTACAAAATTAAGATTTCTCATTTTCAATATGAAGTTACTGAGCACCATCTGTGTTATCTCTGGGCTAAGAACCATATGGGCATTTCCCACGAAAGATGTCAAATCCTCTTTCAGTTGGGAAGATACCAAGTACTTGTAAGTGAACGGAATACACGGAGTACCCGAAGAATTTCATGACTCCTATTTCCACCCGTCGAGAAAGTCCCAGTGAATCGCAACCCAATAACTGCCAAAATTCTAACCCTCCATACCAGTCTCGCATTCGGTGATTCGTACACATTTGTTCAAGGAACATACGGTCGACAAAATTACTCCTTCATTGGCGATCTTCAGAATTTCTCATATACTCCCGCCCAAATCTTGAGTAATAAGATCATCCAAAATCAAGTATTTGGCTCCTAAATGTCTGTTTATACATATCACTAACACTACAACCAGCTTGGAACATCAGCAGGCGGTCCCAATTGGGTCGAATACCTCACATCCTGCTTTTCCGGTCTCCCATCCGGCTGTAGCAAACAACTCTGGGATTTCGCCTTTGCCGGCTCCGACGTCTCTACAACCTAGTTAGTTTTGTTTTCCAGATTCCTCCCCAATGGGTCTTCACGTGCCACAAACAATCAACATGTACAAAAATCCACTAATCCAAAACCCCTACAATCAGCACCCCCCTCCACCACAACTACACCGTCTCCCTCGAAAACCAAATCCGCGAATGGTCCACCTACGCGCAGCCAATCATCCCCATGGATCCCTCCCAGACCCTCGTCGCCATCTGGATCGGCATCAACGACATCAGCGACACCGATTCCTACACCTTCCCCTCGCACAATGCCACCAACTTCCCCTCCCTCTACACAAACATCATCACCACCGAATTCGCCGCCATCGAAACCATCTACAACGCCGGGTTTCGCAATTTCCTCTTCATGAATCTCCCCCCCTTACAACGCACCGTAAGTTCCCAACACCCCACCCCACACCACACCCCCACTAACCCCCAATTAGCCCCCCAACCTCATCCGCGCCGCCGGTCCCCTCCCCAACACCACCATGCTCACCTCCTACAACGAAATCCTCAACAGCAGCGCGCTCCACTTCGCCGCCACGCACCCCGGCACCAAAGCCATGGTCTTCGACACCTTTTCCTTTCTGTCTTCCGTGCTGGATGATCCCGCGCCGTACGGGATCAAAAATATCACAAAATATTGTCCGAGATATGATGCGCCTGATATTGCTAGTGAGTTTCTTTTTTTCTCCAGTTTCCATTCATATCCCCAACCCTATTGTGTATCGTCAAAATCTATTCTTCATATGAACTACACATAAATACGACCCCGCTCCAAATTCAACTAATCCCCTTCCAGCAAACTATGCATCTTACGGCTGCCTCCCCATTCCCGACTACTTCTGGTACAACACCGGCCACATAACCTACCACACGCACGAGATTCTTGCCAAGGAAGTTGGCAAGTTTTTGGAGGGTCAAAGTTGTTAATTGAATGACCACAAATAGACAGGTAGATAGATAGTTCGGCTAATTCAACATCTATCCTTGCTATTTTTGATTTTTGATTTCTGTTTCGATATCAATACATTTCCTAGTATAAATATACACACACATTCACACCACCTCAACTTAAAAGCCCGTGACTGAATCATGCATCGATAAAAATCTTCGCTCACAATTCGCTATATCGCTATCATATATTGATTCTCGTTTCGTTCCATTTCTTTAATCTCCCATGTATATCCTGTAAGACATCGATCCATTGTATATTTTGACATGCCCCATCAATCCTTCCTCCCGCCCATCCATACGATATTTCACGTCTGCACCCCCAACCCCCAAGCCCATCAATATCAAGAAACGCCCCCCCGTTCTCCCAATTCCCAACTCGACTGAGCACTTCAATGTCGAATTTAATCAATATTTTCTTTTCCCCTTCACTCCCGTCTCACTCACTGCATCCTTTTCACCAACCCAAAATCTATCCTGCCATACTAGCCGTTGGTGCCTTTCCCGTTAGATTACCCCCTTGATTTGAGATGCTACCCTCAATTCTCCTCTTTGCCTCTGCTTTTTCGGATTCAGTGATATCTTCTTCATTCTTTCGCATATCAGGTGTATGTTGACCTTCACCTGGATGGTGACCAATAGACATACCCACACGAATCTGTTTATTTGCCATTAGTACAATGTTTTTTAGTACGAAATTAATCAAAAAACTTACCAAAGTTTCCAAAGCCTGACTAGAATTTCCAACCAAGTCATCATCATATCTCATAGCACCATCTTCAAACAAAAGAAGAATAGTACTACCACCAAATTTGAAGTATCCGAGTTCTTCAGCACGTTTAACATTTTCACCCCCCTTTCTAGTAATAACTGTACTTCCCACCATCATTGCTCCTACACAGATAACCATGACTCTTCCATGCTCTAGAGAATCAATTGGGATAACCACACGGACATTTTCTCCATACACATCAAGTGCGGATCGAATAGCCATAGGATTGACTGTATAATATTCTCCTTCAATGGTTTTTGGAGTTCCCATAACACCATCAACTGGGATATGGAAACGATGATAATCTTGTGGAGCGAGACGGAAGACACCCAATGAACCATTTGTGTATCGTTTTGCATCTTCTGGGTATGCATTACCAAGGAGCCTTTCAATCGAGAACTCACGACCTTTAACCCAAATCTTGGTCGCTTCATCCATTCTGTTGAAGACAACTGATCTACAATCAGCAGGCGAAACGATGATGCGAGGATTATCTGGTGCTGAACATGGTCGTGCATCTGGTTTGAGTTGACGATAGAAGAACTCATTAAAGCTCTTGAATTGTTCCAACGGGAGTAGAACTTCACTCATATCCAATTGATGGAAATTAATGAACTTTTGGATTTCTGCTGCCGAAGCAGGATCGTCATATTTGACACCCTGTTTGAAACTCAAGCCTTTAAGAAGCTTGCGAACTAGGTTCATGTTAGCAATTGTTCTACTAGGTTTCTCACTAAATATATAATAAATCCCAAACATACTTCTCTTCTTTTCCATCTCCTTAGATTTTAATCCTTTATATAGCAGTCTAATACCCAAACGAACATAAACGCTCATTCTCTCTTCATTGATTTGTCCAGTGATACGATCTTGCACAAGAATATTGGCAGAATTTGCACCAAGTTTGTAACCACCGTAGGAAATCTTAGTGATGACCTTGGAGTACCATTTGCGCTGTGCTTGACTAGATGTAACAAAACCAGCCATAACTAAATTATCGACTTGACGCCAATCTTGACTAGCACAGGTAGCGATATGAGTGATGATATCAGCATCAGATCGTTTGTTAAGACGAGGTTGATGACATATTGGGCATTCTCGAATTTCAACCACATGTTCTTCAGTCTCATTGTTGAGATCATCCGAGTCCAAAAGTTCACCTTCTTCTCCAGGAGTACCTAACTGGTCGACAGATTGTGTTGATGGGTATGGATCATCAGATCCCTCCGTCTGGAATCGATTTGATGTCGTATCCGATGGGGCCGATGTTTCGGTGACAGCTGCATCTGTAGATTGATCTCCTCGGGTTCCACCAAGCTGATTTGGTATAGCGTGTTTCATTGCTGAAGCATCGGGCAACAGATTTCTCATCTTGTCCCCAATGTTAGTTTCCTTTGTCTTTTTCTGCAATTGGTCTTCTAAACAAATGACAGCTTGGTCAACAGTCAACTCTGAAAATTGTCCATCTTCATTTTGTGCTTGGAAGCGTCTAAAGAATCCATCAATAGTGGACTCTTTTAAAGTCGAGCCAAGTGTATCCAGCATGGTCGTAAGTTCTACCTTACTGATACATCCACTCTCATCGCTGTCATATTGTCTGAGCATTGCCCTCCAGAATTGCTGTCGTAGAGCCGGGTAAGGGGCGTATTTAGCCTTGATAAATAAAACTGGACTGTGTTTCTCTTCCCACTTTTCCGCATTTTTGAGTTTCAACGGAACTTCGAATGAGTGTAAATCGGGGTCACCAGATTGCTCGCTTGATTCTTCTGGCTCAACGACTGGGGGCGGTAATAGAGAATCGTTTGGAGAAAGACCTGCTGGAGTGGTTGCTGGAACGCTGGTAGGAGCAAGAGTCGGCGTAGTTTTACTGGAGGTTCCTCCATTATTCGTGTTTGAGCTTGACAACTCCTTCTTCAAAATTGGACGTCCCAGTTTGTTCAAGCTTTGTGAGGATGTAGATCTTGACATTGGCAATTTAAATCGGGAGCCTTTTGCTTGAGGTTGCTGTACGACCAAAGTATTGAGATTAGGGGGATCTCTCATAGCGTAAAGACCGGTTTCTGGGTCAGCTTCTGGAGCAGTGTCGGTGATATCCTTGACTGGTAATACAGTTGAAGCAATAAAATCGTTTCCAGACAGCTTGTCTCTATCGACAACTGTGAACGCAAGAGAATAAGTTTGCTCATGCCTCAGAACCTGAAATATCATCTTCTCGTTGAAGACTGGATTTAAATTATGTCGAATGACTCTGGTTCTGTACGTTTTCTTTCCCAAAGATGCAACCACGAAAGGATCCATATCAAATGATGTTCTCGTCATATTTCGCTCCGGTGGAAGATCTGTAACCTTGCCAATTTCCAGGAAAACAATTCCAACAACCTCACTGTCACCAGAAAATTCATATGCATTCAATTGCTTCTTCTTCCTTAATCCCTTGAGTCGCAATCTCCTTTTACGTTTTTCAGAATTCTCGGGTTTAGATGGATCATCGGTTTCGTCACTTGGCTCCGTGCCCTCATCGAAATAATCATCTTCCGTCATTTCCGTACCAGGTGTAATTGAATCTAGTTCTCGTAACGGCGTAACTAAACCGGGACTCTCAGCTCCCACCAGAGTTCTGAATTTCTCTAGAATCTGAGCAGAACTGGCAGAAGGATTGGTAACATCGTACAAAGTGAATTGAAGTTGGACGTCGCCGGACACATTGCTATCCTTCTTTCCACCAGGTCTTTTGCTCCGCAGAGGGTACCATGCCGGCTCTTGTTCGTGCAAATCGTTGGAGAATACATCTTCTAATGCAAGGTCGAATTCGCCCAGGTAATCCTTTCCGAATCTATCCTTATCCCAACAAACGCAATCGAGGAGTAGAGAATTTGTGCCGGTAACTGGCAATTGTAAAGTAACGTTCCATTCTGGATTCAATGTTTTCTGTATTGTATGAGTTGTACTTTTTTCGTCTCCAAGCGTAAGTACTAGATACTAGAATCCGCACATCAGCTTGTGTGTTCCTAAGCTCATCGCCACGATAAGGTGACATGTACTTACAGGATCAGAAGTCCCGCTCTTGTCCTTTGCTGCCAAATTTCTAGCCTATTTATAAATAATCGTCAATATAAGTATCTCCATAGTACGCTTCATTAGAATCAACACCCAGAGACACCGTTCTCAGCTTGCATGAAGTGAGAGACAAAAGTGGATTCAAATCATCCATACCTTGAGAACAACAACTTTCAGTACCAAACCATTGACTTTGATACCGTTGCTATCGGGACTCGAATCCCTTCCGCTAGTTTTATTCTTCATATTGTTATTGTTGGTATTCGAAATTGGGCTTGTACTTCGAGAACCGGTTTTGCTGTAAGTTTTGAGGCGATTTGGTAAAGAGATGCGAACCATGGCGAAAGAAGTTCCAAGGTTTTGGGGTTGTGGTAAAACGAGGGGCCAAGATTGTAATTCACCCAACCGAAAAGGGGACACAGAATAGCAGGTATGTATGTAGGTAACAGTAACGTCAGATGTAATGTACGTCGATCGATTCTGTTTGTCTCCTTGGAATTAAGTCTCCGTCTTCTTCGTACTTCTCTGTATTGCCCGAAAAAAAAGAGAAGAGTTATTAAAAGTGTTAATTGGTACTCCCAATGGAAAGTTTTCGGATGTCTTCTTGGGTGGTATGTGAATTGGAGATTCTGATGTTATGGGAGGAGGTAGGAGGTAGGTGGGTTCACTGGATGTAGTAGGTAGGTAGGTATGGATACCTAGACACTCCCGGGTGTGAAATATCGATCAGATCAGAAGCTCAAGACAAACCGTATTAAGATCAAAGTAAGTAAGTAGGTCGAGAAGTAGGTAGGTAGGTAAGATTATCACTTATAACGAAAAAACACAAATCCCCAGAACTTTCATCACACCTTCCAATTCTTCCACGGGTAGGAGAATCGAAGGAGGGAATGAAAAGCTTCGATCGATAATCTCTCATATGAACAGGCTGTCTGGTTGTTTACTGGGTATGTCAGCTAAAACATATCTTGGCATATCTCCGTAGTGGACTGCTGTGGTTTTATGGTTCTGTGGAACTTCTTCGTAGATTTTGGATTGATGGATGTTGGTACTTATTTTCAAAAGGATTAACTCAAGGATTATTTGGCGCTTTTTTTTAATTCGTTGCTTGAACCTTCCCCTGGTTGATCATATAATTTCGGGTTCTTCTTCTGCTGCTGCTGCTTCTTCTTCTTCTTCTTCTTCTTCTTCTTCTTATTTCTTTTGTGACGGTTCCTTTAGACTGATCTCTTTTGATGAGTAGTTCACACCGTCGATGGTAAAAGACTAACGAGTTCCCTTTTTTAGACGAATTCCCAACATTGGTCGGTATACAAGCTCGAAGAGTAGAAAGCGTAAAGAAAATTAATCTATGAGATGGCAAGACAGCGGGGTTGTTGTGAAGGGGTTTAAAAGCCTCATAAAAGGATAAATCTCCGTACAGGGAGGGAGGAATGGAATTTCGATGGGAATTTTGATGAACTGAATCCAAGCCAGGGGTAAAGTTGGAATAGCTACGAAGTAGTGAGCACACGTTATTTTGGTTACAGTATCATGATACCAATAGGTGATGATTCGTATATGTAACCTTATACCGGTATGTACATGTACATGTATGTACGTAGTAGGTAGACACATATACATGTACAGCATCGACAGTTTGAATAACCCGTTAACCATTCATTTACATGTTATCCTTTGGACTAGCAAGGAATAATTGATATATACTTTTGATCATTTGTATCATTGCACTGCCAGAGAGTGCCGTCAGCGTCTACGGGTCGATCAGATCATCTATCTATCTATCTAGGTATCTGTCTATCTATCTATCCCATCCCATTCCATCCATTATCAAACCGTTGGACTGAATCATGATAAATATTCAAAAGGTCTCAACAACATTGACCCAATCCCAAAATTGTAACCCAAGCCATGGGATAAGACTTTTTCTAACAATAGCTGTGGAAATCCCCAACATGGCAACATCATATTACTTTTTATTGTACTGGTGTACCCATTTGAAACAGATTGTCCAACAAAAACCAATCCTCATGCATCCTCATCTCCTCATTTCCTCATCTCGTTTGAAGACGGCATCAGCTATCTCCCAATTCCTCTCCACCAAATGCAAATAATTGCGAATCGAATCTTACCTCTTTCATGCCTAGCTTGTTGAATTCGTATTCCCCGTGTTCTCCCTATCCGCTTCCCCTTGGTAATAGTTCGGTTCGCTACAACCACCAGTATCTACCGCAGTAGGACAAGTATCACGGACAATCGGAAATCGGAAAGTAAATCAAATTCCCTCTGCCTTTACCGCATATGGACCTTCTTTAAATAATCTCCTTCCCTTTTACATCATACCTGAGTCTCTCTCATCAATTACCTAAAAAGTAATCTCATTCATAAATGCCTAACTCCAGCCGAGTTCTTCAGCCACCCAATCTTGACATAAATATACACGAGGGGATGCAAATCTTTCCCAGAGATACACATTCCCATTCCCATTAATAAAACTCACATATCCAACAGGCTACAGTATCTGATCGACCGTAATGTTGGCACAAGAAGCCAAGCCCTTTGCCATTTATCCAAGCTTTGCACGTTCGCTTCCACCCGGTCTTAGCAAATCACCCCAAGCTGCGTGCGGGAAAACGCGTCCGCATCACCGGGAGCTAGCATTTGACAGTCATTTGTAAAGTAAAGTGTAACAAAATAAATATCCGCAAATAGTAACAATAATACCGGTGTACCTAGGTAGGTAGTATTCTCACTTACTCATTAACTGAAGAATCGGACATTTGTTGAATGAATGTACATACAATGTATTCGTGGAGGCGCGCAATCGATTAAGCCGCGGCTGCTTGAAAATCATCGGTTAGGCAATGCTGATCTTTGAGTGTGTTCCTATTGGCTACGATACTTCAACCACTCTCATTTGATACCTGTTTGATCAATCAATTCAACACCAACCAAATGTTGAATAACAAGTCAACGATGGTGATGAAAAGGGTATCCGGGGTTTTGGATAACACACCAGAGACGCCGTCCAGCTCATGATGTTGTTGATAGTATCATGGAATAACATCGATATCTACCACTTTGTTGAGCTTATCGATAAAGATTTGATCGGGATCTCTGCGATCGGAACAACAACCGGGCCAGATGAGGTTGCGAGCTCCATATTCAACCATGTAGGTGAACATCGCGCGATCCAAATCTTGAACGCCATCGATTAATAAGAGCCAAGTGTTCCTAAGTTGGGCTGAAGCTTTGGAAATCGGAGAGGAAGTTGTGGGTCTCATCGACAACCTTTCTATTGGTCTCGCGGCACATACTTCCCGACAAGACAATTGTCACAAAGTTTAAACTTCCTTTCTAGGGAATGTGAAAGCTTTCTGGCGGAACACGGCATCTTTTGTTCGGATTAAACGGTAGCATGCTTCTGGACTCCAATTATCTGGGCGATCTGAATGGCGATAAGACGTATTCCACCGTGTGGCGGAGATCTTGGCCCTCCTCTACTTAATCAGCAGTCATGGAGACTGTTGTACGATGGGATAGACTTTTAACATGGTCGTGGCATCGACTAAGCGTAGAGAGTCTGGGCAATTGACGCACATGATCTCTTTGGCATTAAGCAGTGCTGATAATATGTTATGCTCTGAAGTGGCAATATTGCTACCTAGCTGAATGTCCTTGATCTTAGGATCGATGCTTCGAAGAGTACTCACACCCTCAGGCCCATAGTGATTTTCAACCTGCTCAAGAAGATTGATTCCAAACAAAGTATTTTTAAATTTAGCATCCGCTCATGCTCTACTTTAAGCCAGTGGTCCTTGAGGGAAGTGCACTCGAGTTGGCGATTACAGTGAAGTATGTTAAGCGTCCCGAAGAACCGCATATTTTTCTCTTTGCGCTCGTTCCCAATTTCATGAGGAAAAAGTCATCCATCAGCACGATTGGACTGTCGCAACAAACAATGATTATACTATCCTCAAAAGTACAGTTGAAGTCGGGACGGAGATGGTCCTCGTTGTCGCAAGTGCGGAATCCTCGGATGTTTCGCCAACGAGCGAGGATTCGGCATCGATATCGCAAGTTGCAATATCTACCTGAGCTTGGATTATCGGACACGGCCAAGATCGGTAAGCCTGTGCGTGCCTTACGCTTCAGACATAAATGTAGTAGCGCTTGGCAATTCTGAAGACGCTAGGGCTGTGCAGGCTGGCGATGAATTTGAGAAACTTAAATGGGTTCGTCAGCGATGCAAATGATGACAAGTAAGCAGACATAGCCGTGGAAATCCTAGTAATAAAACTCTACCCACATAAGCAGAAAAGGGTCTTGCACAGTGGCCACTACTTGTTGTCTATTTCATGACACTGTGATTAGGCGACTCTAACCGATTGTTGCACGATAGTGTAAGGGGAATTCAGGTGTGTATCACAGATATAATTCATCCGTCTTACCAAGCACCACCATGTTTTCGGGCAATGCTTTCATTAATCGCGAGCATGTGAACAATATCAGTGGCTTCGGAGGGTCGTATATTAGAATTGGGACAATTATTATCTGTTTGTCTTAAAGGAATGCGAGTGCGTTATTGTGCGTTCAATTGAATGCGCGGATATATCGACCAACTCTATGATCCAATTTAAGAGTTCTAAAGTTAACAACCACGCCATATCACGCCGTTTCAGAGCGTTTAGTAAAAACATACTTCAAAGCAAGTGCTTTCTACTTGAATGTTGGTATACGTTGGTACACCATCTTCAGTAAATATGATTTGCAGATTCGTGCTGTGCCGAATAGTAAAGTAAGCGCTTACCGAATTTACATCTTGTTCCGGGACCGATATCCTCACCGAATTCTCCAAGGGCACATGACATCCTTGTTCAGTATTGAGTGTTGGCTTATAGTTGGTGATATAATAATGTGATCTGCCTCGCTTCGTATCGTACTTGGTATCTATTGACTGGATAAAGATATGCAATATGTTGGTCTGTTGGCAGCTGAAGTTTGTAGAGTCATAAAATGATCTACAGGGCTGTAGTGGTGTAGAAAGTCGGTTTTAAGGGGTGGTAAGGCTGATAGATTTCCATTTACAGTCTGCTCGGATACTATCATCATCCTTTTAGGAATATTAGAGTGCGTATCAATACATCTATCTCTCGGGGCTGCAGTCAAGTCGACATTAGTACTATAAATCAGGCGCAGTCATCACAAAAACATGCCTTGCTTAGTATGCCTTTCCATTACAATATCACATGTATTTTAGACTTTCCGATTTGTTTATATACAATTGATGTGTCTTTCTTTTTGCAACCAAAAAATCATCATTCGATCAATATTCATCACAATCTTTCAATGTCTCCCTCCAACCCCAACTTCAATCGCTGGATAGCCAGTCAAAAGCCTCGCGCTCATACTATGTGTGATGCACCCGCCTTCTATCGCAACTTGGAGCAAGCTCTCGATGTCCGAAGGAAAAATCATGATCTACACACTCTAGTCAAAAACACATGGGCCAAAGGAGAAAGTGTAGATTTCTTCTCCAACGATTCTCTTTCCTTTGGTGCCAGCGGACGATTACGCAAGGCTTTTGATGAAGAATTAGCTCGAAATCCGGATGTACAACTCGGAGCTGGAGGTTCTCGCTTAGCGGATGGTAATTATGATTATATCGAAACCGTGGAGCAGGAAATTGCCGATTATCATGGCGTCGAAGCGGCGCTTATTGTAGGCTCGGGGTGTGATGCTAATTGTGCGACTTTTGAAGCGATTCCCCAATCCGGAGATGCTATTGTTTATGATGAATTTGTTCATCCAAGTATTATGGATGGAATGTCGCGTTCACTTGCTACTATACAAGTATCTTTCGCTCATAATGACGTCGATGCGTTTCATCAGGCCTTAACATTCTTGTCGGATTCACAGCCCCTCATCAAACAGGGAAAGAAGTGCGTTCTTATTGTCGTGGAGAGTTTCTATAGTATTGAAGGGGATATGTCTCCTCTGAAAGAACTGGCGCAGGTAGCAAAAGAGATATTTCCACACGGTAACGCACAATTTATTGTTGACGAAGCGCATAGCATGGGGGTGGTGGGCGAGAGAGGATTGGGATACGTGAATGTCTTGAATCTGGATGCGGAAATCGCTATCAAAACTCATACGTTCGGTAAAGCGTTTGGATCAATCGGAGGTAAGTGATCTCTCTCTTTCCCTTCCCGTTGCGCTATCTCCGAGACTGATAATGTGTAAAAGGTGTGATACTCGGTAGTCACACTATCAAGAATGCGTTGGTGAATTTTTCTCGTTCGACGGTGATTACTGCAGGACCGGCTTTTCATCAGGTTGCTGCGATTCGAGCTGGATACTCTTTACTACCACAACCTGAGACTGAAGCAGTAGGTCTTTCTTCTTTTTTTTTCTTTCTCCAAAGAAATAATCACTATTAGCAACCAATTAACACGTGAATTCAGGGACGAGCCAACATCCAATACCTCGTAACACTCTTCTTCCACAAAATAACCTCGCACCCCATCTGGCCTCTCGCCACCAAACTCGGAATCATCTCGATCCCCCTCTGCGATTCCTGGGACCAACGCGCGTTTCAGACACAGTTGATTCCGCTCTGGACCCGAGATGTGCATGGTAAGGAATTGGCGTTTTGTCTGGAGGAGAGCGGGTTTGCGGTGTTTCCGGTGAGGTATAAGGTTCAGCCGGGGATGGCAAAGTTGAGGATTATTGTGCATGCGGGACAGACGGGGGAGGAGGTGGAGGGGTTGGTGGAGGCGGTGGGTGGGTGGGTTGGGGGGGTGGTGAGGAGGTTGGGGAGGGAGGGGGAGGGGAAGGGGGAGGGGAAGTGGGGAGAGGAGAGGGAAAGGGAGAGGGAAATGTGTGGGGGGTTGTGAGAGAGGAGGGGGGTGGCGAGGAGGTTGTGGATGTGTATGGGGAAGAGAAAGAGGAAGAGAGAGATGTTAATAATGTTTGATACCATCAGATATCATTTTGCTTATATGAGTAGGTAGCATCTCTTATTTTGTATTATAATCTCACAGTATCAGTATCAGTATAAGTATCAGTATAAGTATCAGTATAAGTATCAGTATAAGTATCAGTATCAGTATCAGTATCAGTATCAGTATCAGTATCAGTATCAGTATCAGTATCAGTATCAGTATCAGTATAACACCAACAAATTCCTTCAAATTCCTTCTTCACAATTCCTATCTATTCATTACATTCATAACACTCACTCATCTATTTACTCTCTAACAAATACTCCTTATCCATCCATCCATCCATCCCCTCCCTCCCCATCCATCCATCCACAAACCCCCCCCCTCCAACCCCAAAATAAATCATCAAAATAAATAATCAAAATAAATCACCAATAAACATTACCTACATATCCACTATCCATGTATGCACAAAACACAAACCACACACCATAACTAGATAGCAAATCACAACCCCTGAATTCTGAATTCCACCAGGTGTTCCGCTTCCGAAACTTACTTTTGATTACCTAGGTACTCCAACTCCCAACTGTTGGTACTGTTGGTATCGAGTTAGGTTATATGTTGATGAGTTGTTGGTTGTTAGTTGTTAGTTATCATTTCGCTTTTCGCTTTTCGCTTTATGTTTGTTTTTTATGTGATGTGTTTGTTTTTTATGTGATGTGTTTGTTTTTTATATGATGTGTTTGTTTTTTATATGATAGGATATAATATAGTATGATAGGATGTGATAGGAAAGGATATAATACAATACACCGCTCCCCGACATCGGGAATACCAGATATATGTAGATAGATGTACGGAGTTTCTCATATCTGGGGAGAAAAACACATTGTTCGAGTTTGAGTTTGAGTTTGTGTTTGTGTTTGTGTTTGTGTTTGTGTTTGTGTTTGTGTTTGTGTTTGTGTTTGTGTTTGTGTTTGGGTTTGTGTTTGGGTTTGGGTTTGGGTTTGGGTTTGGGTTTGGGTTTGGGTTTGGGTTTGTTACTGGTGTTGATAGGATATTGATAGGATATTGATAGGATATTGATAGGATATTGATAGGATATTGATAGGATATTGATAGGATATTGAGTGTTGGGAAGTGGAAAGTGGAAAGTGGAAAGTGGAAGGAATGGTATGGTATGGTGTAGATAGACTACATGAGTGAGTATCAGAATCTCAGCAAAAGCAGAAGCATAGGTAAGCAAAAGCAAAAGCGAAAGCGAAAGCAATTCAGCAGCTACAAGTACAACCTCCATCGACAACCTCCATCACCCACCACACAACCCAAACCCCAACAATGCCCCTCCCCTCCCACCACCGCACCATCTCGCGCCGCGAAATCATCCACCTCATATCCCACGGCAGCAAACTATTCATTCTAGACGGATACGTCATCCAAGCCAACGCATGGCTCCCCTTCCACCCCGGCGGCGAAAAATCAATCCTGCATATGGTTGGGCGCGATGCGACAGATGAGATATACGCGTTACATTCGGGGGAGGCGCGGGAAATATGTGGTGGGGAGGATAGAAGGAAGATGGGAAAACTTCCTGCCCCCGATAAAGGGAGTGATGTGTCGAGCGGCACCATCGCAAGATGTGGTCGACGAGACGTTGGATGGGGAAGCTTCTCGCTCGTCTGGAAATTTCATAGCAGCGTTGTCGGGGTTTGAGACTGCGGAAAGAGGGAAGGAAGGGTGTGCGAGGGGGACAGGTGTCGAGATGCAGATTTCTCGAGCTGCATCTGTGTCTGCGATGGGAATGGGAATGGGGATGGAAAAAGCGCACTGCGTGTCTGCGGAAGCGTTAACCGCGCATGCCATCTCGATCGATCTTTCGCGGTATCCCTCTCTGGACCGCAAAACCCAAGAGGAGATTGTCCTGAAATATCGGCAGCTGGATGAGACGTTGCGACGCGCGGGACTTTACGAATGTCCGTACCATTCCTACGGCATCGACATGCTTCGCTACGGCGTACTCTTTGCGCTCTTCTGGAGCTGTTTGCAGTGCGCACACTATGCCTTCGCCGGGCTGTTCCTCGGACTCTTCTGGCACCAGCTCGTCTTCACCGCGCACGATGCCGGACACATGGGCATCACGCACGGCTTTCACACCGATAGCTGCATTGGGATTGTCGTGGCCGATTTTCTCGGGGGGCTCTCCCTCGGCTGGTGGAAGCGCAATCACAACGTCCATCACATTGTGACGAATTCCCCCGAACACGATCCCGATATTGCGCACATGCCTTTCTTCGCCATCTCGCATCGCTTCTTCGCTTCTCTTTACTCCACCTACTATGATCGCGAGATGAAGTTCGATGCCGCCGCGCGATTTTTCATCAAACATCAAAATTATCTCTACTATCCCATTCTCCTCCTGGGAAGATTCAATCTCTATATACTAGCATGGAGCTACCTCCTAAGCCCTAACCAGGCCCCTCGAAAAGGACCCGCATGGTGGCACCGACACCTCGAACTAGCCGGGCAGCTCTTCTTCTGGTACTGGTTCGGCTATCAGACCCTCTACCTGGGGATTCCCCGCTGGAGCTCGCGCCTCACATTCCTCCTCCTCTCACACATGGTGACGGCGCCCCTCCACGTGCAACTAACACTCAGCCATTTCGCCATGTCGACTGCGGATCTGGGGGCGCGCGAATCGTTCGCGATGAAAATGCTGCGCACAACCATGGACGTGGAGTGTCCCCCCTGGATGGATTTCCTGCACGGCGGATTGCAATTCCAAGTCGTGCATCATCTGTTTCCGCGCCTGCCGCGGCATAATTTGCGCAGGGCGCAGAGGTATGTGAGAGGTTTTTGTGAGGAGGTGGGGATTCCGTATGTGAGGGTGGGGTTTGTGAGGGGGAACAAAGAGGTTATCGGGAGACTGGGCGAAGTTGCGGCGCAGTTAAGGGTATGGGAGGAGTGTAGGAAGGTTGCGGCACGGGAGTTGGTGGAGCGTCGTGGGGATGTTACGTTGAGGATGAGGTAGATGTAGTCTTGGTTTTGCAGACTCGCGTGGGGTGGGATTGATGTACTACTTACTGTCTCGTACCAATATATTTATAAATATCAAAGAATAAATGAATAGATTGTATTAATATACCACTGTTTCATGTTGTTATATTTAAAGATATTGAAAAATAAAAGAGTGATTTATGTAAATAAATATATTCGTAAACATTAAAGAGTGAAAGAATAGTTCATATTGATGTACTACCATCTCATATTAATATATTCACAAACATTAAAGAGTAAAAAAACAGTCCATCTTGATGTATTACTATCTCATATCAATATATTCACAAATATTAAAGAGTAAAAAAACAGTTCATATTGATGTACTACCATCTCATACCAATACATTCACAAACACCAAGAACACCAAACCAATTCATATAAGAACAAATATCTATTGCAACTACCTAATCTATATATCTATTCGCAATAATATCCCGAACCAACAGGTCTTTTGAACCCCCTATAAATCCACCAAAAATGATTTCCCGACCGGCTAGCTAATTAATGCCTATACCTCAACGCCATGCAACTTATAAAAAGGAATAAAAATGCAGTGAGTGAATAAAGATATAGCAGACGGAAGATGATAACAATTATCCATCTTCATCTCAAGCGCCAACCTCCTCCGTGATTGAAGCTGGTATATTTTCTTTAAGCTCAGAGAAAGATTCTGGCCACAAGAACATCTTTTCTTCCTTTGTTGGAGTAGCAGCAACATATGAAGGAACCTTGAATATAATGTTAGTATTAAGAAGTAATGACCAAGAATGAGAAACAACTTACAGCATTCTGACTTGAAACTCTTCTCCACAAGTTGGCTCTTGGATTGAATCTAGCTGGCTTGCCTGCACCACCAGTCTTCGCTTGATCCTCCTCAGCAATCTTCTCCACTTCCTTTTGAATGTCGGCAAAAGTATCAAATGGAATGTAAGGAATCTTATGTTCCACACAATACTCCTCCAATCTCAAACCTCTTCGTGCAAATAAAACATCTGCTTGTCTCGCAGCAGGTAAATCAGAAACTCCATCACCAATGAATACAATCAATGGGATAGTTCCATCTTCACACTCCAATTGAGCAAGTTCTCTTGCTTCCGTAATGGACAATGCCTTGTCGTGACCCAACTCAGTGTCATGTCTCCAAACTGGCTTCCACAGACTTCCATCCTCACTAATCTCTGCCTCATTTGCCACGATTTGGATTCTCTTACTCTCCTCCTCTCCCAAGAACTTATCCAACACTTTTCTCAACACTGGCTTCAAGCCCGCACTGATAACATTGAAAGGAATATTGTTATCAATACAGAAGCGATGGAATTTTTGGAAATCAGGATCAATCTCGAGAGTTTTCTCCATCACGGCAAACCCATCTTCGAAGGGAACGCGGAGAGATCCCCACATCTCTTCTGAAACATCACGGAAAGAACGTTCGCCGGTTTTGATTTGTTCATCGAGGACCTGACGACGTTCTTCTCCGCATCCGTATGAATCGAAAAGGACGTGCCCGGTATCTTGCATGAAGATTGTGCCATCGAAATCTGGAGTGGAGATGTTAGTTTCTTATCTGAATATATATGTATTCTCATATAGACAAAAAGCAGGGTACCCAAATATACCAAAACACTAATATTTCGATATCAAATCGTAAAATCAATATCCAATTAAATATAAAAAAGACATTGAATTTGTAATAAATCAAATCCTCTGAATATATTCACACAACTTGGAATACGAAATATTGATTAAATGACTTGATATCAAATCAATTGAGAAGTGTATTGTTTGGGTATACCAGTTTCTCATCCGGATAAAGTACATGGATATCAAAAAAAGGAAATACATACCCGAAAAGCAAATAATCTTTCTCTTGCAGTTTAACATATCTGGATCTTGTGTGCGAGCGTAACTAGTTTTCTTAACTGCCAAATTGGTACTGAGAGTTGGTGGTGTAGTTGCAGAAGGCATTCTGAAAAGAAGAAAAAGGATGGAGAGGTCAATAAATAAATATGTGAGTATCAGGGGGAGAACGCTAGTGAGCCAAGTTTGAGCTAGGTAGGCACGGAAAGGTCGAGAACGATTTTTTTTTTTTGTTGGATTGATTGATAAGATGTGTATGGTATCTCGATGAACGATGGAAGTAATGCAGTGATGCAGTGATGCAGACAAGGAGGGATAAGAAATATGGGTTCAAAGTTGGAGGAAAGGCGGAGAGCGGGATGAAAGTTGATGTATATATATATGGGCCTTGGTTGAAAGCTGGAGTTGGAATGTTTAAACGCCGTTGAGATGTTGGTGTTGGGATTTATTGGTATTGCCTGAATGGAATGAATGATTGATTGATTGATTGAACAGTTATAGCAAAAAGAGAAAATGAAGTCGAGGGCGGTTGCCAGTTTTTATATTCATTGATGTGAAACTATTCCTTTACTTTTCTTCCATCTGCTTTGTGATAATCTTCACTTTCTCCATCTCCATCTCCATCTCCATCTCCATTTCCATCTCCCCCATCCATCCTAAACAATGACTCCATCCTACATGATGCAAATGCATCTCAGCAAAGATGTGTTTACGCTGCGTAAAGTCGTGGATCAAATTCTCACGATAATCCTAGGTACCTAGTAGGTACTCATGTCATGAGTTTCTACTGGTAGGTGTGTCTCTTGGGTCTTGGAAAAGTTGCCCACCATTAGTTCCAACTTTGGCAAACGAGATATCGATGTCTCGAGGACAAATTCGATCTTGGGATCTGGAACCTTGGTGGGGCACTTGAATAGAGGGGCAGTGCGTGGAACAAGTGATTGGTGGGGGGATGTAAGTAAGCGTGGAAGAAAAGACGTGGAAGAAAAGACGTGGGTGCGAAGGAACGGACAGAATGTTCTTGAAGCTACGAAGGATCTAGAGTGTGCGTTGCCACTGTTGAGCATGTGAGAAGAAGAAAATGTGTTTGTGATTCTCTTTGGTGATTAGATGGATACATGTTGTGTTTGGATTATTGTGAGTCGACAATGCTAGCTGGAGGTAGGAAATTACGAGGTAATACTATTGTAGGTAATAATAGTAATAGATACCTACTAGATATGATTCATCATTCATCATACTTGTGCAGTGAAGTGAGGTGAGGAAAACGCAGAGTACAGTACGGGACACACACAGTACATACCTAATGACATCATACATCTAGACTCGCTACCCAGTAACACAACAGGACAGAACAGAACACACCAACCAACCAACCAACCGACCGATGTTCAAAGTTTCCATGCACTCCAATTTCTCATCTACAAGAACAAGAACATCCATACCACTGCATACCTACTACCTACTATCTATGCACGTTGCGTTACCAAAAAGGAAGTCCCGAACCGTGTCACAATTTGTTTCAAGGGCATCCATTCATTGCACGTCCTAAGCACCGAGTCAAAAAACGATGCACCACACTTAGGTACTCCGTAAAATACATACTCCTCACACACACACATGCATATGCATGGAGTGAAAGTTGAAACCATGAACAAACAGGCTTACCTGATCTTAGACACTCTCACACTGGCGTATATTCCTCACGGAGAATTTCAAGCCACGATCCATCCATCCCATCATCCAAGCGCTTGCAGACTGTGCTCCCACGCTTCCTTCTCTTCTCTCTTTGCGCTTTTTCCTACATGTATGCGTTGCTGACTGCACTGCTCGTGATCATGGGCATTGCTAAGACAAACTGCCCAGGTGCTCACCGATATACTGACGCGGGGATTGAGCCACATACGGAGGTACTTCTTACTCCATACTTTGTACTCGAATACCACATGCACGTTTTCGCATTATTGGTTGGATATCTAGTTAGATAGATGGATTTAAACAGGAGCCGAGATATACTTCAAGTGTCTACTAGGTACCTACTCTCAAGCTACTGTATGCATATTCCACGCAACACAATAAGTATCCAGATCGTCATTTTGCATATCTCACTACTCAAGCAACGAGTAACATGATTGATTGATTAATGAATTGTTTCATTTATATCTACGGAGTATTCAAAGCTCCAAGATCACCTGGACATGTGCCTCTCTTTCTTCCCAACTACAATAGACTGCAGTCGACTGGTTACTCTACTAGGTCCTAGGTATACATGTACTCCATCTGTACATATGGGAAAGCAGAATGGGGTTTCCAATCCGATTCGATTCGATTTTTCTGCTGCGAAATACGAGTAAAATAAAATAAAATGATGTCACAATGCAGATTCCAGATATCTTTCTGTACGATACCACACTCCATACAAGTCCATACAAGTAAGTCGGTTACCCTACTTTCGGGCCAACAGGGTTTTGGGCCACCCTTTCACACCAAAAATCACTTTTTAGGCCTATTAATATCTCTATCAATATATAATATAATTCAATGAAAATTTGTATATATATAATTTAGATCGATTTAAGCTTATTCTGAAATTTTTAGATTTTTAGGATTTTTCTGTATTGAAAACTAGAGCTTCAAAATATCGATTTTCAAATTTGTATGGGAATCATATATAAATTTAGAATTTTTATAAAACCTTTAATAACTTTTTAATAATAATTATTAAAAGAAAACTATATATATTTCTGAGATATTTGAGCTTGAATCTATATAGAAATTCAAAAAAAAATTCAAAAAAATTAACAAATATAGAGATATAGTATATAATAAGTTTAGAGTAGTATAAATAATCCCTGTTATTTTAAGAGTATCCTTTTAAATATTTATTTATGAGAATTTTTTTATTTTTTCTGAATCTATTATATGAAATATATTATAAAGTGATAGTGAAATTTTACAATATATTTTTAGCAATTTTTATTCGAAAGTTATTAAAGATTTTATAAAAGTTTCAAATTTGTATGTGATTCCTATACAAATTTAAAAATCGATATTTTGAAGCTCTAGATCTCAATACAGAAAAATCCTAAAAATCTGAAAATTTCAGAATAAGCTTAAATCGATCTAAATTATATATGTATAAATTTTCATGAAATTCTATCCATAAATAAGAGAGTTAAAATTTCCATTTTTGGTGTAAAAAGTGGCCCAAAAGGGGGGTGGCCAGAAAGTGGGGTATCCGACTTATGGTACACGGTAAACACACACTGATTACGTAAATCACCCCAAAACCCCAGGGAAAAAAAATACAGAGTAGGTACAGTTGGGAAATTACCTACCTACCTACCTAGAAATATTACTCAAAATGAGGTTGTCGTGAGATTTTTCCCACATGTAAGTACCTAGTAAGTAGATCTAGATATGTGTATGTTTTTTCCCTTTCCTTTTTTTCCTTTCCTTTTCCTTTTCTTTTCTTTTCTTTTCTTTTCTTTTCTTTCCTTTTCTTTCCTTTTCTTTTCTCTTATTCATAAAGATATTAACCTATCGTTGGAACAAAAATGTATTAGATACCCTCATACGTACGAGCCTACCTACCTACTAGTCTTCCGAAGATCTACTCCTAGATCTACATTTAAATCTTCGGATTCTGATTCGGATTCTGATTCGGATTCTGATTAGATTCGGATTCTGATTCTGATTAGATTCGGATTCTGATTAGATTCTGATTCTGATTCTGATTAGATTACATCTACGATAACTCATCCATGGATCAGTGAATCTATTTAATTTGACAAACAAGACAAGACAAGACAAGACAAAAGAAAACGATCTTGGAGCTCGTGAGTTGTGATGGATCTAGATAGGTAACACGTGATAGGATAGGTAATGTAATCAAAATAAATTACCTACCTAGGTACACATACCTACCTACCTAGTACCTACTTCGTACATATCGTACTTCGTATGCCTATATAAAAGTCACATCCACACGCCTAGCGATCTACAATCTACAATCTACAATCTACAATCTACAGTGAGTGCAGGTTGATGCGATAATTTTTCATCATCTGGGTATCGTAGGTAGGTAGATTACCGGTATTGATATTCATCATATTTCTCTCTCTCTATCTGGTTGCACTTTTTCCATCCCCCCTTTCCCATGCTGCTTGCTGACCACTATGAGCAGCCTAGGAAAGCTAGGTAGCCATGGCCATCAACCGGGTACTGGACTGGATCATAGATGGAGTGGTCATGTCCTCTCTCTCTCTCTCGCATAAACCATCTCAACATTCCATAAACAAGAGAAGACCATTGTTCTAATCCCTCGCTAAACAACGACATAAATTCCCCCAACGCCCTAAATGATTTTTGTGTTGACTACTACTACTAAACTATGGTCTATTATGCGGCGGCGACCTTGGGAGAGTATTTCGTGGCAGCCTTGTCGAAGAGGGAGTTCTTCTCCTCCAAGTCCTTCAAGAATGCGTGTTCTGGTGCTGTGCTTCCTAATGAACTAAACGACAAATGTTAGTAAAAGTAACATTGCAAAAAGGTTCAAACATGAGCTGAACCTTGGATTGCCATTTCAATGATTCTGCGAGAAAGAATTCAAGAAAGGTATAGCATAAATCCAATGTTCAATCTTTGATTGATTCGGAACGAAAGCAGCGCCTATAAGGAGAATACACATACCTTAACAAATCACTGGATTCCTTCCCCGAGATTGTGTTCAAGACGACTTTGTTTGCAAGGACTTCAGCATTCTCGGGGTCCTTGCTGAAAGCTTGATCTAATGCTGCTTCTGCTTCCTCCAATCTTCCTAGATGTATTTCTGCGATTGCTTGCGCGACAAGACTTTGTGTTGAGGATGTTGATGGAGCTTGTGCGAGTTCTTCAAAGACATAGAATGCTTGCTGGTATTTCTCTCCGCCCTTGGGTGATGTTAGTAAAAGATACTTTGTATACTGGACTTGAGATAACCTACAACTCTAAGTCCCACCCAGGACTCTGCCAAGTTAACCAACAGACTATCTTGAGCCCATCTCCTAGCTTGTTGAACTTCCTTGATAGCCAAATCGGTACGGTTTTGTTCTAGATGAATTTGAACAATGAGAGCCACCGCCTCAACTAATTCCCATGATTAGCCCCCCTCTGCGACCATAGAGTGACCCTCAAGTGTATAATACTTACGGTTCCCCTGGTGCAGTCCCAACAACTGCAGAGCTTCCTCGCTCTTTCCCGCAGCTTGTAGAACTGTTCCACCCAATACCTGCACTGTCGCATTGTCGCTCGAGTCCTCGGCCAATTTTGAAATCATCTGGACGCCCCTATCTTCATCCTCGCTCACAAACACGGCTAGAGCTCCGACAGCTTTTAATTCGACGGCATCTTCTCCTTGTACGTCTGCGAGAACATCTTCAGCATGTCCGAGTGCAATTTGAGCTCTTAGTGATATAACCCGCGCTGGGAGTGCATTCTCTGGAGAAAGGGCACTGGTATCGAAATCAATGGCTTCCTGATATTGACCTTGGTGGAAATGATTGTGCAAGTTAAGAAGCTCGCCCTCTGCTGAGAATGGATCCATATTGTATGATTGTGGTTTGAATGTTCAATGTTGAAGATTATATGCGGTGCGCTCGAACAATACGTGTTGAATTGGTCGAGGATGTCGGAACTTGCCGAGACCCTCTGAAGCTAAAATTTATGGGGTCGTGCCGCTAATTTGTTTGAGCGAAGGCCATGTACACTTTCCGTTGCGCCTTGCCATGTGCTAAATCTCGCATCATCACGACGTCCATATATCTTCGTTACTAATTTCAAAGAACGAAGTCCTCGGGCTTTTGATTTTACATGATCCACCAATTCTTTGTTTGTGGAATCTTCAGAGGGAGCCTTTGATTTGCTCTCATTAATATCATCGTCCTCTTCATTAGTTTGGAGCTGCAGCCTAACGTTATCCCAAAATGCTCTGATTTGAAGTTCTTTGCGATAATTATCAAAAGTCATTTGTATACCAGGTCGGGGGCGTTTACTTGGTGGCCTTCTTAGTACTTCTTCCCGTAATCTCATAAGAAGTTCGTTTCCCTAGATCATGGACACAGAAGTTAGTCGGATCAGTCCAAAAGGGTTACTCTTCACAATGAAACCGAGAATGAATATACCTACCATTTTTTCGTCAATATTTTTGTCATCATCTAAGCACCTCATCAATGGTCCAGTTAGGAAGAAGTTTCGATAGTTCTGCAATAACTGGTCGTAGGTATATACTTGATGAGGTATGGCGTGTTGCTGAATATCCTCTTCACTCAGACGTTTCGAAGGAGCCCCTCGAGTTTTTTGCCTTTTCTCTTTACTTCGTGCTGCGATATTTCTCTTTACTGCCATGGCCTTTAACAGCTCAAAGTCAGTAATGATTGAATGCGGCCCATCCTTAATCCCTCTGCGTTTGCAAAGCTCAAAACTGTATACGTTATCCTTGGTCGACATCTCTTATTCACAAAATTCCAAGGAAAAGATTGAGTTGATTCTTAGAATCTTTTATTTCATATTTAATTCTGGCTTCACATCGATGACTGGAATAAATTTCGATTCACATTCTGAGCCATAACATTACAAAAAAGTGATTCACATACGAATCATCGCAAGATAATTTTGCAACCCATGCACACATCATCAGTATATTTACTTCAATCTATCTCCGTCGGTTTAATGTCCTAAAAATTCTACTGGAAGTACAACAACTTTAATATTATCGAATACGACTGTTCAGCACATCATCTTCTTTCTTGTCTAAGGCGATCCGGCAAGATGGTAAACCCACTTCTTCCAGAGATGACAGACCTACCTGCAGGTTGGGTTGGTCAATTTGATCATAATGATCGAGTTTTCTTCCGTGGTCCTAATGGTTATTTGACGTACGATCATCCTATGAAGGGTGCAATCCCAAAGCCTTGGCAACTCAAGGTTGATAGGTCTGTCCCAAATCCTCGTGAGTATTATTACAACACGCAGACTGGGGAACAATCACATAACAACCCGCGTTTCAAAAAAGAAGTCATGAACTCAAGCCTTATCGGTGTCTCCAGACTCGTTCGAGAATCTGCAACTATGATGGTAAATACCAATGGAGCTGTCGAAAAATCACGACGCCAAGCTATTGGGAACCAGAACATACGACATTTATATACAATAGTCAAAACACTCGACGCTGGGAATGGCGCTATAGGCGGAATGAATGGCGGAGTTCATGTTGTTCGACTCAAGGGTACGGGTAAGCTTTATGTCGAGAAACGATTCAAGAAAGATGACTTGCAACCCCTGAGAGATGGAACGCCTGGAATGGGCGTAGTCGAGATTGGGATAACTCACAGGGTGATGCATGGCGGTCTCGCCGGATATATCAATGGGTTTATAGAACCAAACGACATACATCCAGCTAGCGCATCATTGTTTCTTGAATTTTGCGACTTAGGATCATTGGATGACCTTATTAAATGTCATGCTCAACGTCTGGGTACAAGAGATGCGGTCAATGTACCTGAGCGCTTTGTTTGGCACGCTATTGTTGGACTTTGTGATGCTCTTTCCTACCTTTGGGGCGGAAAATCATTCATAACCAATGAAAACCACACAGGAACTGGGCCTGCGAAGGGCTGGAAACCAATCTTACATCGCGATATGAAGCCTGATAATATTCTCATACGGTCGAGGTCGACGAACGGAGCGACGAAGTACCCTTTTCTGGTCATAAGTGACTTTGGTTTGGCCACTGATAATCATAAGCAGGGATCTGGAGCTTGCGGGACAAGACACTTCTGGGCACCTGAACTCCTCTGGGATCCTCCCGCAACAAAAGGTTGGCATATTAATACCTTTCCCCCGAACCAATATCATACTCACGAGAGCGATCTCTATGCACTCGGGGTTTGTATATACAATCTTTGCAGACCTACCAATGCTGTTGTGCATGGGCAACGGTGGCTCGGAGCACTCTCACATTTCAAATTCGAATTTTATCCAACGAATCGCGATGAAACTGATCTATGGTTGTCATCTCGAAAAAGTCGTAAATCCGACTTAGACGCCGGTTCATCTTACTCGCCTTACCTTAGAAACATTGTCAAGAAAATGACTGCTTGGAACGTCAATGAAAGAGGCGCTGCTCATCAACTCGAAAATATACTCATTCCTACTGTGAAGAAATGTGGTTATTATGACGAAGACTTCAGCCCGAGTGAGGCGCTTCCAGCCTGGGCCATCAAAAAGCATGACTACCATTCTAGATGATCTACATCAGCATTCTCGATAATAGCAGTGGAGTGGAAAGTTTCGGATGCCAGGCCTTTGAGTAACTTTGAACTTTGACGCATGGGTTTTGGAGGTGATCTGATTGGTTGGGCAAGAAGGCCGTGATATGTCAGTACATGAAGAACTACAACATTCTTTTCTTCTCGATTTTGGGCGTCAAGATTCGCCGATAACAGAAGTGTTATTATATTACAATGGAACTTCAGAGTCTTTATTCAATTAAACTCTAGATGTTTCTACTTGGTCAAAGTGAACAACACTATTCTACTATCCTAACATTTACAATATTTAGTACGACAATGAAATCTTGGACTGGGAAATGACAGAGAACAGATCACTAATGAATATAAAGATACTGCTCTTGGGGGAATTGATACTGCGAAGAGGTTATTGAAATTTGATAGGCAGATAGCATTATAAAAATATATCTTCGTTCCTTTCTGACATCGAAAATTCCCAGTAACCTCGATATAAGTAAATGACTATCAGATGGTCTAATTAATAGGATGGAATAAGCCTTAATGAAGTTTCTTTATCATCAAAAATATATCAGCACTAATAGTCGGCTCTCATAAGCGGCCGACTAGTTCCTAGCGATCTTATTAACTTATAACAATTACAATTCCAAAAGTTCAATCACGAAAAAAGTCTTCATTCCGGCCTTGCCAAATACCCCCCTAATATTCATAAATTTATTCCAAGATACAGAAAAATAACAAATATGCCGCCAAACCCAAAATCGGTCCCAATTTCAGATTATTTCGAATCTTTCTACTTCTCTTGATGGCAATTTTTCATTTGAAAACTTGGACTATTATGCCGATGGCACTTTGTTTCCCGTTCATATTGGCGATCTCTTTCCCCCAAAACCCGAGGGAGACGAATCTTATTTATATCGTTATAAAGTTCTCTTGAAGATTGGTCATGGATCTTATTCCACTGTTTGGCTAGCCCTAGATCTTGAAGATGAGTAAGTTGAGGCCAAATTCCCCAAACAGTACATCGAATCTGACTGGCTCAAGAACCTATGTGGCTTTAAAATTCCTCTCTAGAGGAAAAGACAAAGAGCTTTCTCTCTACCAGTCGCTCTCTAAAGAGGAAGGATCTTTAGGTCAAGAGTCGGTTGTTAGACTTCGAGACTCATTTCGAGTCGGTCTCAGAAACGAACATACGGTCCTTGTCTTCGATGTTTTAATTCCTTGGACTTTTCTCAATCAGAAACAAAAAGAACGGCTTAATCTCAAGGCTACTGTCTTCCAACTTGCATCCGGTTTATCGTTTCTACATAGCAAAAACATCACACATGGCGGTATACCAACCTTAATACCTTCCAAATTCTTCACTAATCAGGCTACATAGATTTACACCAAGGAAATATCGCGTTGAAAATCTCCCCAGAATTTATGTTCAGCGGAGATGAATTCCTTGGAGAGCTCAACTTCCCAGATGTGATTCCCATACTTCCGATACCCTACTCAAAGGAAAGAGTTCGTCGGCCGCCTCCTAATTACCAACCACCAAAATATCTCATGAGCAACAATGTGTTTTTGGATTTCGCAAAAGAGGTTCTCTCGCACAAAGATGCTCTTTCCACTGCAAAATTACAAATCATCGATCTTAGCAATGGTAACTAACTCCCCCTTCTTTGTTTTCTTTACCACTTAGTTGCTAATATACTTCTGCCGAATTGCAGCATACCAAAACACGCCAACCGAAATTCCAGTGACCAAACGTACCGTCAGAGCTCCAGAATCTTTCATGGAAGAACTAACCTCATTGAGATTCCATTCTGATCGCCCAGCAGACATCTGGGCATTAGCCGTTACGGTATGCTCCACACTTTAAGTGATATGAACGGAAGATTAACATATAACAGATCTTCGAAATATTGTCCGGGCCAAAAGATGTTCTCTATTTTGCATCGCGAGACTCTGCCACAGCTTTAAGAAGCATAATAACACAAATCGCTACACCTGTCCCGGAACCTTGGACGAAGGCTCTACTTGAAAAGGACATTGTTGTCAAAAGAGAGGGAGACGCGACAGTACAACCACTATGGGAAAAGATGGGTCTTACACTCGTTGATGAACCGGTGCGGGGCAGGTATTTGGATCTTCTAAGGAAAATGCTTGTAATCAATCCTGTAGATCGCCCGACATGTGAGGAGGTTTGTTTGTGCTTATCTAAAATCATGAAGGAGAATAAAGCGAAATAGAAACATTTCAATTACTACGAGGGCGTGTTTTTGATGATTGCTGGACTGAAATTTAAGCGAATTTTTTTATCAAAACTATGCTTTATTCTATATATTTATAAATATATAATAATTCAAATATTTATTAAATTTTTTTAGAAATTTGAATAATATAAAGAGATTTAATTTATGATTTATTTGATATTAAAATAATTAATTTTAGAATTAAATTGATAATAAAATTCTATATAGAAATTTGATTTTTAAAATAAATATTATTTTTTTAAAAAAAAATAAATATAAAAATTCAATATAAATTTTAATTTAATTAAAAACTTCAATAAAAAAACTAAAATTATATTATTTAATTTTTGATAAAAATTTATTACTTTTATAAAATTTCAAATATATAATAATATTGATTGATTTAATATTGAATTTTAAAATAAATAAGTTTAGGTGAATTTTAATATGAAAAAGTGCTTGCGTACAGACCCGGCATTCATCAAAAACACGCCCTCGTACTTTAATTTAAATCATTTACTATGAACATAGTCACGACTTTGTAGTGTTGCAAGCCGAGCTACCCAACCCCCTCAAAATCAATTGTAGAGGGATAGGATCTTAAGTACTAATAACAAAGAAGGATAGATGATGCTCATAACTCCTCACTACCTACTTTTAAGTACTGTTCAAGACTATTTGGAAATTGACAAGGAAAAAACACGTTCAATCAACATCTAATCCGAGTTAAAATATAGGTATATTTGTAAGACAAAGATATTCATTGCATATCACGTGCATTAACATTACCTTGCCACTTCTCGAACTAAGGTTCCTTAGTGCTCGGCTAAATTAAAGACTTCAGCCTCGAAAAGAGCCTCGTCAGGCTACGAAGCCTTACACAATAACTTCCTCCATCAAACTTCCTTCAACATCTCTCAATCAATCATCTTGTCCTTGAGATAATCGAAAAGAGCTTGAATTCTTGTCTATCGTCCTTTCCTAAATCTTTGACACTATTTAGTATCGCATTGTGCGACAAGGAGATGGAGCCTTCCAGCAAGAAACGACGTCTCGCACCCAAAGTTCCAGAGCAATCTACTCAAGAACAGGTGAACAATTCATCGCATTGAATCTGGTATATCCTGCTAATGTGCAGTTCAGTCTCCTCAAGCTAGGTACGATTATAAGGCTATGCCGAACCTACAAGAGCCCGCACCTTCGAATGAGCGAAGCGATTTCGAGTCTTTCGCCCGTCATTTGCAAGATGCAGCAATGCTTATCTATGCGCAAGCAAATCGATCTCCATATAAGGGTGTTACAGTACTTTTGTTGCGATGGGAAGAAGATTTAAGTGTTGAGCAAGATCTTTTGCTCTTGCAGAAGGTTTTCCAAGAACGCTTTAATTTTCATACCGAGTCCTGGAATATCCCTAGTGGCCCAAATCCTAACATTAAACTTGTGAAGCAACTTGCACATCATATTGAATCAACTGCGCCTAATAATCTTTTAATTGTATATTATGCAGGTTATGGGTTTGTGGGATCGGATCATCAATTATATTGGGCCTGGTAAGATTGGAAGCTTATCGAGCCTTGTGACTTATCGCTGATATGTAATAGCAATTCACACGAAGATGCTCCAAAATTTAAGTGGGAAGGTATTAAATATTTGCTCGAAGATGCGCAGCCTGATGTTCTACTGTTACTTGATTCTTGCGCAACTACAGATTCATCTGTTGCGGGAAGCCAAGGCATCAAGCAAGGTATTGCTGCATATAGTCCAGAACAGGCTACACGTGAACCAGGAACACGTTCATTTACTTATCACTTGTCGGAAGCTCTTAATAAACTTGGTACTGGCCGTCCTTTCAGTACGCAAAGACTCCATGAGGAGATCATTTCACAAAAGCACAATGGATTTCTGGCACACACTGGACTTACAAATGGAGCAGGAAAGGCAGCTTCGGCCAACGAGCGAATGCCCGTATCTTTCTCCTTGACCCCTGGATCATTGCAAAGCATTTCGCTATCTCCTCTGAGCCAGGCCCCAAGATCAAGCACTTCGATAGCATCGCCAACGGATTCACCAGAGAACAATGCCTCAGGATCAAGCATTGAGGAACCAATCAAGGCCAACTCAAATTCTGACCTAACTTTTGAAGAAGTCAGAGCATTAGTTTGTACCACTTTTGTTGGAGAGCCAAGTCAAGATATGGCATCTTTCAAACAGTGGCTTCACAATACTCCTTTGGCAGCATCAAAAATTGCAGTCGAAGGGATGTTCCATGGACCACCTACCATTCTCCTCGTTTCTATGCCAATCGCGGTATGGAACGTTTTGGCCGCCGAAGGAATCTGTTTGTTCTTGGGTTACATCAATTCTCACAACATGACAACAGATTATCAACATTTGATTGGAGCAATTTCCCCTATGAGCAAAGCCGCAACTACCAAGGAACTGGAAGATGGTAAAATACTACTTGAAGCTCGTGAGGCCGCTGCATCCACACCACTAATGACTAGACATGAACCAGTTCAACAAGAGCCAACTAGACAACCAGAAGTAGTTCATCAAACCCCCTCTCGACAAGAACCTATAAGACAAGAACCAATCAATTCTACTCCTCAATCAATCCCCCAAGTATTGTATCCTGATACTAGTACAGCAAATCTTCCCGAGCATACAGAAGACGTTGAAACCTCAGTAGAGATGCATGAAGCAGCCGAACAACTCAAGGCTTTGAGTCATGTACGACACCTTAGTCACGATAATCTGACTCCAAATGATCGAAATCACTCTCACATAACTTCAGAAGATTCCCCAGGTCCCAGAAGTGGTCGTGAAGAATCAGCATCATCTCAAGACCAAGGTGAATCTGGAGCCGAAGATCAAATGTACAACTCAGAGTTCAATTCACCTGCCTCTAGACCCAAGCCCCGGAGATCGTCACAAAAGCAAGGCCCTAAACAAGATACCCGATGTTCAATGTGCAGTCATGCACCATTTAAAGATTCGTCTTCCTTGAGAAAACATATCGCTGCTGCACATACAAGACCGTTCCCGTGTGCTTTCTCTTTTGCCGGATGCGCAAGCACTTTTGGCTCTAAGAATGAGTGGAAACGACATATTGCTTCTCAGCATCTTTGCTTGACATTTTATCGCTGCTCTTCTTGTCCTCAAAGCACTGCCGAAGGCAAAGGTAACGAATTCAATCGCAAAGATCTATTTACTCAACATCTCCGACGTATGCATGCACCTTTTGCAATTAAGAAAGCTCTTGCCAAAGGAGACTCCAAACTTCAAGTGGAATGGGAAACTCATGTTAAGGAAATGCAAGCCTCGTGTTTGGTAACTAGAAGACAGCCACCTCAAAGATCCGCCTGCCCTAAAGCAGATTGCTCAAACGTGTTTGAGGGCGCAGGTAGTTGGGATGACTGGACTGAACATGTTGGTAGGCATATGGAAAAAGGAGAGGCGAACAAATTAGGCGTTGACAAGTTTTTGGCGAGATGGGCCCTTGATGAAGCCATTATTGAACCTAAGGGAGATGGATCTAATGAATACAGGTTATGCGGTACGGAGAGAGAAGGTGGCGGTGTGTTGACTGGCAATGGAAATGCAAGTGGCTATTATTCAGATGGCGGAAAGAAGGAAATAGAAAGTGCCAAAGATGGAATGGAAAGTCTCATGGGCTTGACGGGTGATAGTATGGTCATCGATGGTTGAGGAATTCAACTTTGGGAATTCTAGGCTGGATATGAAAATTCTTGAGACAAGAAACAAAAGGGTAATCTTTAAATTACATGTTATAGGGTGGCTTTCTGTGTTGTCTTTATCTGGTATCAGATCAAACTTTGGGGTGGCTGCTTTGTTTGGTTAGCATTGACTTGTCCTGGCTTCAAATTTCCCTCTCTTTTATCACACACTCATCAGTTCATGTCACTATACTTGGTGAATGGCGATATTGCTCTTTTTCTCTAATGTATGGATGGATGCACAGGTGCATGGATGGACGAATGGGGTTTTTTGAGGAACTATATCTTGAGGATATTATCTTATTTGGGATGTACCTAGGCAAGCAAGGGCGAAAGTATGGTTGGGATGGGCTGGGTGGAGTTTTTTACTAGGAATACGAAATGAAAAATGTTTATTTTTCTTGTTTAGATTTTGCAATGGGGAGCTGTGTGTTTTTGTTGTAGGTGGATGAGAGTTGACAGCTTGTGGAAGTGATGAAGATTGGGGTGATAACAATAGCTTGCAGTATTTAAGTCGTTTGTTCCTGATTTATATATGATGATTTTCTGAGATTTCTACACCTTGTCAACACGATTTTTTCTTCTGGGTCCTAAACGATACTCGGTTTCTATTCATCTTCTTTGATGATCCTATCGAAATCTTTTTCTTTTCTTCTCAAGTTGAAGCGTATTCAACCCTCAGCTTTCAAGTATACAAACAACGAATTTTAACTCTTTTGGTGCCAAATTCACTTCGCATTTCATGTCTTAATATAATGAATCTACTATGCGTTAACTATCTTAGTGGGGGTTGCTGGTTTTTAATTATAGTGTATAAATTGTATTTAAAAGAAAAGATTATATATATAAAATAAAACTGTATATAAAAAGCAAAACTGTATACGAAAGCAAAACTGTATACGCGAAGTAAAACTATATACGCGAGGTAAAACTGTATACGCGAAGTAAAACTGTATATATAGAAAAACTATATATAAAATTAAATTATAATTATAATATTACTATATTAGGAAGATAATATTGTATTAGAAAAATAATACTATATTAGAAAAATAATACTATATTGAAAAGATAATACTATATTAGAAAAATAATACTATATTAGAAAGATAATACTATATTACAAAATTAGTATTGTATTAGGAAATTGATATTAATTTAGATGAGATATATCTCAATAAAAATGAATTTGATTATATAATCTAATTTAATTGAGTTTAATTATCAAAAAGTATCGTAGGTCATGAGCTAGTATATGAGTATATGATATATATAGTATATAAGAGAGATTAGACTAGTATTAGTCTATTATGAGAAGCTGGCTCATATTAACAACTAAATAGCTTATGAAACACGTGATTTTCATGAAACAGTATATGATATTCCTTATTTCTTATTCTATATTCAAAAGAAAAAGGCCTTATTTTATACTTTTTTTCTATTAATCTAGCTTTCTATTATCGTAGATCTCTTTTTTTTCCGGTTATTCTATTAAATATAGCTCTTCTTTCTTATTCCTTATTCAATTTCATTAGAATTATATCAACCTAGCTATATATAAGTTGAAAGAGCTAATAAAGAATCGGTTTTCCGGTCATTTTGGGCTAAAGGCCTTAAGCGATAATCATATGATATGATTATGTGACTTGGTCAGGTAACTTAATCAGATAATCCTGTAATTCGTTTTTAGTATATTATATAAATATAGAACTATATATAATATATATATATATAAAGATGTATTATTATATAAAAATAATAGTTCTCTTTAATATATACTGTCTTTTTAAAATATATATATATATATAAATATTAATCTTATTAAAAACCTTTTTATAGGAAAAGAGTATCAATATCTTATATACATATTAATCTTATTAAAAACCTATTTATAAAAAAAGAATATTAATATTTTTATAAAAATTATAATATTTTCAATAATTATTATAGTTTTAAATTATATCAATAAACCTTAATAATTTGATTCTTTTTAATAATTTAATTAAACCATCAGCTAATTGACTTTTAATAGAAATCCAAATTAGGTTTAAATATTTTTTATTTATAAGATCCTTTATATAATAATATTTAATATCAATATGTTTATTTCTGTTATAATATATAGGATTTTCAAATATAGCTTTAACTGATATATTATTTGTATATAATAGGAATTTCCTTTATTTATATTAATTTAATTTCTGTAAAATATATTTTAAATATATAGTTTCTTTAGTAACTAAATTTATAAAAATTAACTTAAATTCTGTCATATTTTGTGTTATGATAGATTGCAATTTAATTCTTTAATTTATTAAACCATTAGCAAATAAAAATATATATCTATTAATAGATTTAGTAGAACTTTTATTTTTTGTATAATTTGTATTGTAATATTCTTTTATATAATTTTTATAATCCTTTTTATATATCATTTTTAAAGTTTTAATTCCCTTTAAATATCTAAATATTCTTTTTATAGTTATTATATAATCTTTATTAGAATTAAACATATATCTTACTAATTTTAATATAGAATAAACAATATCCTATCTAATTCCTAAAACTAAATAAAATAGTTTTTCTATTACTTTTTGAGCTCATTTTATTTTATTTAAATCGGCTTTATTTGAATTTATTTTAATATTATTTTTAACAACTATAGGTGTAGTTACAGGGTACAATCTTCTAATTTTAGGTTTTTTAGATATTTATTTATATATTCTTTTTGATATAATTTAATAAAATCTTTTTTTAGGTTTATTTGAATATTTAAATAGTTTTTTTATTAAACCTAAATCTTTCAGATCTAAATAGTTTTTAAGATTTTTTATAAAATCTTTAATTAAAATCTCGTTAGAGTCTATAATAGCAATATCATCAATAAATATATTTAGTATTAATTCCGAATACTTATTTATAAATATACATTCATTTGATTTTATATTAATAAAATTTAATTTATTCAATATACTTTTTAATATAGTATATTATATTTTAGTGGATTGTTTTAATCCATATAAAACCTTGTTTAGTTTTAATATTATATTATTATTATTATAATATACTTCAGGGGTTTTTATATATATATTTTTTATCAATATTTTCTTATACAAAAGCTAAAACTATATTTATTTTATATATATATTATTCTTTATTTATAACTAATACAAATATCAATTTCTAGATTATTTACTTTATTATACTAATAAAAGTATTTAATAAT